GAGGATGAATAGAAATACACACTTTTCCAATAATTATAAAAACCTACCTTTTTTTTACAAAATTTTTTCTTTTTCTAAGTATTTTTTATATTTCAATAAATTTATTTTTTGATAAAATGCTAAAACTCAACTTTTTAACAAATTCCTAAAATGGGGATTTTTTATCGCCAATTTGGGAATTTAGATTTTTTATGATTTTTTTTCAATAAAATGTTATTATTTGAAGGGTTATACAGGGTTAGATGGCAAAAATTTCTCTTTTTAATAAATTCCTAAAATGGGGATTTTTAAAAACGAATTTGGGAATTCAAAATTTTTCATAATTTTTAACAAAAATTTCTTAATTTGTTATATTGAAAGGAAATCATTTAATAAAATTCCCAAAGTGGGGATTTTTACACTTCCATTTGGGAATTCAAAATTTTTATGAATTTTTAACAAAAATTGCTTAATTTGTTATATTTTAATGTAACTTTGCAATAAAATCCTCCTTTTAACAAATTCCTAAAATGGGGATTTTAAATTCCCACATTGGGAATTCGCTTTTTTTCATAATTTTTTAACAAAATCAAGTTAATTTGTTATATTGAAAGGAAATTATGTGATAAATGGCAAAATTCGACTTTTTAACAAATTCCCAAAATGGGGATTTTTAATTCCCAATTTGGGAATTCAATATTTTTCATAATTGTTAACAAAAATATTAAAATTTTTGTAAATTAAAGAAGATTTTGTTATAAAATTATAAATTTTAAGTTTTTTTTAAGGTTAAAATAGACAAGAACCCCTTTTAAAACACATTTCCCCTTTTCAGAATACCCATCCTCAAGAAAACTCTAATCAGCTATTATTTCCTATGCCAATAGTAAAACAAGAATCAGAACCGATTATAAATGGAAACATAACAAACATCGTTAATGTTAATAAACTTCAAAACAATAACACAAATGAGACAATTTCCCGAGAAAATGATGAGGAAGTAACACATGAAGCTATTAACGATATATTAAAGAGACAAAGCGAAAAACGCAATAAAACTATAAAGGACAAAAAGCAGCATGTATTGCAAAAGAATTTTAAAACATACCGTCAGAAATTATCCTTGAAATGTGGCAAATGTAAAACAAGTTTTAATACGCGTACAGGTCTACTTGTACATTTAACAACACATAGTAAAAACAAACATATAGAGGAAGGGATGAATGAAAACATTATGAATCTTAGACCCCGCAAGGTAAAATTTAGTTTTATACTCTTGTATATGTGTACATATTGTATGAATAACTAAAATATCATCTTACTTTTATAGTCTAATATGTCAGCAATTGATGAACCGAATATGAGTCCAAGCGAGGCACAAGATAACCGACAGCAATTACCCGGTAAAACCGATCCAAAAGTAACTGACAAAGTTAAACCGGCTAATAATGAAAATGATGAACAAGTTAATGACTCCAATATGGAAACCTGTGACTCCTTAAATGAAGAGGAATATGAAGACGAAATGCCAGCTCATAGTAGTAACAAAGGCAAAAAACCTAGTATTAGGAAAATACGTATTTTATCCAGACACGACTTTAAATGTTTAATTTGCAAAAAGAAATTCAGAAATAAACTCAAACAATTAGAGCATATGAAACGTCATCGTCGTGGCAAAAATACAAGTGTAAAATGTCGCGAATGTAATAAAGTTTTTGCATCGATAAATGGCTTAAGGGCCCATCTAAGATTCCATTCAAATTTAACCTGTCCCATTTGTGAACAGGAAACTACACCGCATTTCTTTATAAAACATGTTTTAACACACGAAAGTGATGGCTGCTACCCATGTCAGTCGTGTGGCAAAATATTCACTAATCAGAAAGCTCGTATGAAACATTGGCATAGTCATGACCAGGAGAGACCATTTCCCTGTAGTATTTGTTATCGACGTTATGGTAGAGTACAACATTTACGGAGGCATATGAAATGTCATGAGGAAGAGGTAAAGTATTCATTTAATAATAATAGACTAGACTATAGACTAGACTATAGACTAGACTATAGACTAGATTATAGACTAGACTATAGACTACTCTATAGACTAGACTATAGACTAGACTATAGACTAGACTATAGACTAGACTATAGACTAGACTATAGACTAGACTATAGACTAGACTATAGACTAGACTATAGACTAGACTATAGACTAGACTATAGACTAGACTATAGACTAGACTATAGACTAGACTATAGACTAGACTATAGACTAGACTATAGACTAGACTATAGACTAGACTATAGACTAGACTATAGACTAGACTATAGACTAGACTAGACTAGACTATAGACTAGACTATAGACTAGACTATAGACTAGACTATAGACTAGACTATAGACTAGACTATAGACTAGACTATAGACTAGACTATAGACTAGACTATAGACTAGACTATAGACTAGACTATAGACTAGACTATAGACTAGACTATAGACTAGACTATAGACTAGACTTATAGACTAGATTATAGACTAGATTATAGACTAGATTATAGACTAGATTATAGACTAGACTATAGACTAGACTATAGACTAGACTATAGACTAGACTATAGACTAGACTATAGACTAGACTATAGACTAGACTATAGACTAGACTATAGACTAGACTATAGACTAGACTATAGACTAGACTATAGACTAGACTATAGACTAGACTATAGACTAGACTATAGACTAGACTATAGACTAGACTATAGACTAGACTATAGACTAGACTATAGACTAGACTATAGACTAGACTATAGACTAGACTATAGACTAGACTATAGACTAGACTATAGACTAGACTATAGACTAGACTATAGACTAGACTATAGACTAGACTATAGACTAGACTATAGACTAGACTATAGACTAGACTATAGACTAGACTGTAGACTAGACTATAGACTAGACTATAGACTAGACTATAGACTAGACTATAGACTAGACTATAGACTAGACTATAGACTAGACTATAGACTAGACTATAGACTAGACTATAGACTAGACTATAGACTAGACAATAGACTAGACTATAGACTAGACTATAGACTAGACTATAGACTAGACTATAGACTAGACTATAGACTAGACTATAGACTAGACTATAGACTAGACTATAGACTAGACTATAGACTAGACTATAGACTAAAATATAGACTAGACTATAGACTAGACTATAGACTAGACTATAGACTAGACTATAGACTAGACTATAGACTAAAATATAGACTAGAATATAGACTATAGACTAGACTATAGACTAGACTATAGACTAGACTATAGACTACTCTATAGACTAGACTATAGACTAGACTATAGACTAGACTAGACTATAGACTAGACTATAGACTAGACTATAGACTAGACTAGACTAGACTATAGACTAGACTATAGACTAGACTATAGACTAGACTATAGACTAGACTATAGACTAGACTATAGACTAGACTATAGACTAGACTATAGACTAGACTATAGACTAGACTATAGACTAGACTATAGACTAGACTATAGACTAGACTATAGACTAGACTATAGACTAGACTATAGACTAGACTATAGACTAGACTATAGACTGGACTGTAGACAAGATTATAGACTAGACTAGACTATAGACAAGACTGTAGACTAGACTATAGACTAGACTACAGACTAGAGTATAGACTAGATTATAGACTAGATTATAGACTAGACTATAGACTACAATATAGACTAGAATATAGACAACAGAGTAGACTAGACTATATGCTAAACTACAGATAAGACTATATATTAGACTATAGATTACACTATGAACAAGACGATAGATTAGACAATAGACTATAATATATACCAGACTATAGATTAGACTACAGACTACACTATTCTATAGACTAGATTATAGGTTATACAGTAGACTATACTATACATTAGACTATAGAACAGACTAGAGGCTACTTATCAAAAGTATATACATAAGTACTTAAGTAAAGTTAAGTCAATAAATATTAACTTAAGTACATAAGAAAATAATAATACATAAGTAAATAAGAAAATCCTTTATTCTTTTAGTCTAAAATACCAGCAGCAAGTGATGTACAAAAGAGCCAAGAGCAATTGGCCGGCAAAACACCCAAAAAAGTTAAAACGGCCAACAATAAAGATAAGCTACTTAATGTCTCTTACATAAATTCCTTTTGTTCAACAAATTTAGAAGTAGACGAAGACGAAATCCTAGATTTTGATTGCAACGAAGTAAAGTGTCCACAATGTAATAAATCTTTTGCAACAATAAATGGCTTAAATGCCCATTTAGTATTCCATTCAAATTTACATTGTCCCATTTGTAAAATGGAAGTTACACAGAATTTATTTATAAAACATATTTTAAAGCACGAAGGTGAAGGCTGCTATCCCTGTCAGTCGTGTGGCAAGATATTTTCTAATCCTGAAAAACGTATGAAACATTGGCATAGTCATGCCCAGGAGAAACCATTTGCCTGCACTATTTGTTTTAGGCGTTATGGTAGACTACACCATTTACGTCGTCATATGAAAGGACATATGGAATATGATTGTAATTTGTGTGGTGCAACATTTAAATCAGTCGCAGAAGACCCTAAACCGCCGCATGTCTGTAAAAAATGTAAAAAATCATTGAAGGATATTTCTTTGACCGATGGAGGGGAAAAGGTAAAGAAATCGTTTAAAAATTATTAAAAAAAACTAAAGTTAATACATTTTTGTTTTGTTTTTAGAATGCAGCAGAGGAGGCAGTTTACAAAGAATAAAAAATGGGGAAAATGGGAGCTTTAGAATTTCATAATTTTTTTCGTTAAAAAAACTTTAATTTTTTATATTTAAACTTTAATTTTTTATATTTAAAATTATAAATTTATGTGCAAAAAGTCGCTAAAAACACTTTAAAAAATCGCTTTAATAAAAGATATCTGGCAACTTACTGCCATTGTTTACATTATTATTGACAAAATAAAATCAACAAATAAATAAAATAAAATATTCCTTGATGTAGAGTTATTTTAAAAATAATTAAAAATACATCATGTCCCGGGTTACTTTACAGCCTTCATTGTTGAATGCTGCTTCCGGAGGTGTCTCTAAATGTGCCGAAATATTTGTTACAAATAATGCCGATAAATGGACATTTGTCTGTATACATTGCCAAAAAGCTACCAGTGATATAGGAGTTTTCATTTGTCACATTCGTTTGGAACATTTAAAAGGCAACATAAATTTGGGAGAAAGTTATCCTACAACTGAAAGTCCAATAAATGTTTTAACTCCAAATAAAAATGCATACCTTCCAGAGCAAAATGATAACATTCCAGCGGCATATGGGAAAACTACAGAAATAGTTGAAGCTAAAAATAGTATCCAAGATGAACAACAAACAATGCAAAGTGATGAAAGCCAAAATCTTCTTGCTCCAAAAAGTCAAATCTTTATGCAGAGTAATACAGTTAAACAGGAAGCAACTGGCAATCAGGAACTTTCCAAAACTTCAAATATAACTACACTAAAACAGCAGGAAAATCCTACTCCAAATGCAAAAAGCCACACGACAGATGATCAACCTCCATCAATTTCTGATGTTACTTCATTAAGTCAATCTGCCTATGATTTCAGTAGTGAAACAATTACACCAGACGATCCACCAGAGCCAATGAAATGTGATTTTGTAAAAGAAGAAGTTATTATTAATGAACGAGAAGATTTACAACCTCCTGCCGGTAAAGTTCCAAAAATTTCGGATGTAACTTCATTAGGGCAGATGCTGGCAAGTGAGAAGGAAGTGGAAAACTATTCAAATAAGGTAATTAGTAATGGATAATAGAAGTAGGAATAGACTACAGCTTATAAGCAATAGAGCATATTATAGAGTAGAATAAAAGTTTGACTACATACTGGACTGGACTATACAATTGTCTATATACTAAACTATAGATTATACTTTAGACTAAAATATAGACACTAAACTATATTAAACTTTAGACTAGCCTAAAGATTAGAGTAGTAGAGCAGACAAAAGACTACGCTGTAGACTTAACTTTAGACTAGACTATATATAGTCTTCACTATACACTACTTTTTACTATATTTTAGGAAGCTTCATCAACAACATCTCAACAACTGGAAACAAACTTGGAATTTTATGCTATAACATCTATCGGGCAAGACTTGGAACAACAAGGACAAAATGAAATTGTACAAGTGGTTTATTTAAAGGAAAATGATACCTCTACAAATAAGGAACAAGAAAATGCAAAAGACTATAATGAGAATAATATTAATCAAACAGATGATGTTGTCATGTCTTCTTTTACACCAAGTGATGATGAAAATGATGATGTTGAAACAAACATTCACATACGATCTTCTTTCACATGTGGCAAATGCGAAAAAAGTTTTAAATGTAAAGTTAGTTTAGAAAAACACGCTGTGGCTAATCATAGATCCCTAATTTTGAAATGTCCATTCTGTCCGGTTAAAAGAAATAAATGGTGTCTTTTTCTAGCTCATTTAAAAACGCATGAGAGCGACACGTGTTTTCCTTGTCATATCTGTGGCAAGATATTCGAAAATAATCGGGAACGTAAGAAACATACGAAAGAGCATGGTGTTGAAAAACCATGTACTTGTAAAACATGTTTGCGTAAACAAGAATATCAATGTAATGTATGCTCAACCTTATTTCAGTCAGAGCTATCTCAAAATCCTCCCTATATTTGTGGGAAATGTAAAGAATTGCCTGAAAATCTAGTAGTTGAGGTAAGTTTAATAAAAAAAAGACCTAAAAATAGGATTTATTACTATATTTTCATTTTAGATTGATCCTGCAGAAACAAATACTGCAGCTGTCTTGATGGATAATCCTGACAATACTCAAACCATTGCTAACATAGAGCAAAATGACAACTGTTCTACTTCCTTAAATGAAAATGACGACGAGGACTCTGAAATAGAATTAATTACAGACAATTTTCCCAGTGTTAGCAGTTCAAATACTAACCAAATATCCCAGAACAATAACATACGTTACAAATGCTTATATTGTAATTCATTATTTATTTCCGAAAGGAGTGTCATTTGTCATGCCTCTAAAATGCATTTTAAAAATGTAAAGGATTTAGCTAACATTTGTCGTTATTGTAATAGATCATTTCGAACTGAATCATCTTTGAATCTCCATCAAAAAAGCCATGAAAAAGGCAAACTATTTGAATGTACTATCTGTACTTTTAATGAATATAGAGAAAGTGTTTTTATTACTCATATGCTAAAGCACGAAAGCGACAACTGTTTTCCCTGTCAAGTTTGTGGAACAGTATTCACCAGCAATACGGAACGTTTGCAACATTGGCGCACACACATCGAGGAGAGACCACATGGCTGTAATATTTGCTTTAGACGTTTCCATCAGCAATATATACTCAGAAATCATATGAGAACTCATTGTCAATACAGTTGTCATTTCTGTCACAATAATTTCCAATCGAATCGTTTTTTAAAATGTCCACATGTTTGTGATGAATGTGAAAAATTACCGCAAATTAAAAAGCAATTGGAACAACTTAAATCAAAGGCCAAGAAAAGAGCACTTGATTCGGAAGGGGAATAATATTTGATCTGTTAATATTTAGCTTCATATTTTATTTTCGTTTTAAATACCTGTATATATCAGCTGACGAAAAGTTCCAAAAATTAATAATTAACGAAATCTACAGGAATTGTAATCAACTCTAGAAATGAATGTATTATTTAAAAGTAAACTATATAAAATAAAAAGAAAAACTCTTAATATTGAACATTAAATGGAAATAAAAAGAAAAAAATATTTTCTTATTAAATTTACCACATAGAATCGGTTATATGTCAGAAGCACTTTGTCTACTTTGTTAAATTCTGTTCACATTAAACTTTTTACTAATTTTTGTGTTCTGTTTAACCATTAAAAATTAAAAAGATTTAATATTCTACAAATTAACCGTTATATATTTGAATTATTACGTTTTTATAATATTTTGAGATTGGCAATATTGTGACATGTAAACAAAGGTGAATTTTTGTTTTTTGTAATGTGTTGCCAACAGCACCATAGAAAAACCGTTCAATTTAGAAATATCTGGCAACTTATTTACATTGTTTACATTAATATTTTTTTTTTTTATTTTTGTTTCTCTGTTTACCCGGACTTCTTTTTCTGTATGCTAAAAGAAAAAAATTAACAAATATATAAAATATAAAGGTTTTAAATAATTAAAAACTAAAAAATACAAACATACATTAAATGAATAATATGTTTTAAATAATAAATCTCTGAAGAAAACAGTGTTTTATAGTTTACTCAACATGGCCCTAAAAACTTTGCAGCCTTCATTAACAACTCCCTTACAAACAGCTTGTGAATCTATGACATTGTTGAATACTACATCCGATGGTGCCTCTAAATGTGCCGAATTATTTGTTACAAATAATGCCGATAAGTGGACATTTTTCTGTGTTCATTGCGAAAAATCCACCAGTGATATAGGAGTTTTCATTTGTCACATACGTTTGGAACATTTAAATTGTCTTATTGATAAACAGTGTAGTGGACATTCTGGTAATATTATGGCTCCAAAAACAAATAACTTTTCTAAACCACAAAAATCAGTTTCTGAGGAAACTAGAGAATTCTTGGAAGCTACAAATAGGCGCAAAGATGAGCATCAGCTAAAGCAAAGTGATGTCAGCATTGTCAATGAACAAACAATAGATATTCAATCCAATGCTTCCGAAGTTCCTAACATTTCTGATATTAGCTTACAGCCGCTGGAAAGTAAAGAAAACCAAAATCAAAGACATATAATTAAACAGGAAGTAATAACAGACGAACAGCCGCTTATATTTAAAAAAACGGAGAATCTTCTTACTGCAAGGCGGGAAGAGTATTTATCTTCTAATGGTACTTCATTAAGGCAGTCTCCCGAAATGGTAAATCTTCCTTCTCCTGGTCACGGAGAACTAGCGGCAGATGCTCAACAGCAAATGCAATGTGATGCTATTAAAGAGGAAATTATTATTAATGAACCTGTAGGTTTGCAACATCATGTCTCTAAAGTTCCCAAAATTTCTGAAGTTACTTCATTAAGGCAGACGACGACAAGTAAGGAATTGGAAAGCATTCCGAATAAGGTAAGTAGGTAGTTATTAGTTAATAATGCAGTTAATAGACTATAGATATACTAGTCTATATCCAAGACTAGACTATAGTAATGACTATAGACTAGACCATACTAGATTATATACCAGAATATAGGCTAGATTATACCTTAACCTAATGACTAGACTATAGACTAGACTATAGACTAGACTATAGACTAGACTATAGACTAGACTATAGACTAGACTATAGACTAGACAATAGACTAGACTATATACTATAGACTAGACCATAGACTAGACTATACACTAGACTATACACTGGACTATACACTAGACTATAGACTAGACTATAGACTAGACTATAGACTAGACTATAGACTAGACTATAGACTAGACTATAGACTAGACTATAGACTAGACTATAGACTAGACTATAGACTAGACTATAGACTATAGACTAGACTATAGACTAGACTATAGACTAGACTATAGACTAGACTATAGACTAGACTATAGACTAGACTATAGACTAGACTATAGACTAGACTATAGACTAGACTATAGACTAGACTATAGACTAGACTATAGACTAGACTATAGACTAGACTATAGACTAGACTATAGACTAGACTATAGACTAGACTATAGACTAGACTATAGACTAGACTATAGACTAGACTATAGACTAGACTATAGACTAGACTATAGACTAGACTATAGACTAGACTATAGACTAGACTATAGACTAGACTATAGACTAGACTATAGACTAGACTATAGACTAGACTATAGACTAGACTATAGACTAGACTATAGACTAGACTAACACTAGACTATAGACAGACTATAGACTAGACTATAGACTAGACTATACACTAGACTATAGACTAGACTATAGACTAGACTATAGCCTAGACTATAGACTAGACTATACACTAGACTATAGGACTAGACTATAGACTAGACCTATAGACTAGACTATACACTAAGACTATACACTAGACTATACACTAGACTATAGACTAGACTATAGACTAGACTATAGACTTGACTATAGACTAGACTATAGACTAGACTATAGACTAGACTATACAGACTATAGACTAGACTATACTAGACTATAGACTAGACTATAGACTAGGACTATAGACTAGACTATAGACTAGACTATAGACTAGACTATAGACTAGACTATAGACTAGACTATAGACTAGACTATAGACTAGACTATAGACTAGGACTAGACTATAGACTAGACTATAGACTAGACTAGACTATGACTAGACTATAGACTAGACTATAGCTAGACTATAGACTAACTATAGACTAGAACTATAGACTAGAGACTATAGACTAGACTATAGACTAACTATATACTAGACTATAGACTAGACTATAGACTAGACTATAGACTAGACTATAGACTAGACTATAGACTAGACTATATACTAGACTATAGACTAGACTATAGACTAGACTATAGACTAGACTATAGACTAGACTATAGACTAGACTATAGACTAGACTATAGACTAGACTATAGACTAGACTATAGACTAGACTATAGACTAGACTAAGACTAACTATAGACTAGACTATAGACTAGACTATAGACTAGACTATAGACTAGAGCTATAGACTAGACTATAGACTAGACTATAGACAGACTATAGACTAGACTATAGACTAGACTATAGACTAGAACCTAGAGACTAAGACTATAGACTAGACTATAGACTAGACTATAGACTAACTATAGACTAGACTATCGACTAGACTATAGACTAGACTATAGACTAGACTATAGACTAGACATATAGACTATAGACTAGACTATAGACTAGACTAGACTAGACTAGACTAGACTAGACTATAGACTAGACTAGAGACTAGACTATAGACTAGACTAGACTATAGACTAGACTATAGACTAGACTATAGACTAGACTATAGACTAGACTATAGACTAGACTATAGACTAGACTATAGACTAGACTATAGACTAGACTATAGACTAGACTATAGACTAGACTATAGACTAGACTATAGACTAGACTATAGACTAGACTATAGACTAGACTATAGACTAGACTATAGACTAGACTATAGACTAGACTATAGACTAGACTATAGACTAGACTATAGACTAGACTATAGACTAGACTATAGACTAGACTATAGACTAGACTATAGACTAGACTATAGGACTAGACTATAGACTAGACTATAGACTAGACTATAGACTAGACTATAGATTAGACTATAGACTAGACTATAGATTAGACTATAGACTAGACTATAGACTATAATGTAGACTAAATTATAGACTAGACTTTAGAAAATAGTTTCTTTTTTTAGGAAACATCATCAGCAATATCGCAACAACTGGAAACAAACCAGGAATATTTTGCTATAACAGCAATCGGACAAGACCTAGAGCAGCAAGAACGAAACGAAATTGTGCAAGTGTTTTATATAAACGACGAAAAAAACGACATCTCTATAAATAGGGAAAATTCAAATGATGGAGATAATAATGAAAATAATATTGAAGACATTAGGCCCACAGACGATGTCGACATGTCTTCTTTTCTCCGAAAAGATGATAATGATGTTAATGACACAAATTTAAAACTTAAATGTTCATATTGCCAGGAAATTTTCAAAAATATGCAAATACTTTACGCACACATTTCTCAACATCATGAAACAAATGTTCGCTTAAAAACTCCCTATAAATGTACCAAATGTGACAAAAGTTTCAAATATAAAGGTATTTTAGAAAAACATAATTTGGCTAAACATAAAGGACAACTTTTGCAATGTCCAGTGTGTCAGGTAAAAAGGAGTAAATGGTGTTTTCTAGCTCATGTACAGACGCATGAAAGCGACACGTGTTTTCCTTGTCAGGTCTGTGGAAAAATATTTGCAAATAATCAGGAACGTATGAAACATTGGAAAAAGCATGCTGTCGAAAAACCATATCCTTGTAAGATATGTTTTCAACGTTTTCGTAAACCACAGTATCTAAGACGTCATACAAAAGGTCATCCTCGATATCAATGTAGTGTATGTTCAACATTATTTAACTCAATGCAATCTCAAAATGCTCCCTATATTTGTGGTAAATGTAAAGATTTGTCCGAAAATCTGGTAGTGGAGGTAAATATTTCATAGAAACTACATACGAAATTTGTTAATTTGTTTTCTTTTTAGCTGGACCCTTTAGTAACAAATACTGAAGATGTTATGAAGGACCATTTTGACAATACCGAAACCATTACTAATGATAATGACGCCATTTTCATAAACGATGGCCAGGACTCAGATATAGAATTTATTGATGAGTCATATACAGACAATGTACCCAGTGTTAGCAGTTCAAATACTGCTCAAACTCCCAGAAACGATGACAGTAATTCACAGCATAAATGTCTATATTGCAATAGAGAATTTATGACCGAAAGGCGTCTCATTATACACACAACAAAAATGCATGACAAAAGCGAACGTCTGCTCTCACGTTTCATATGTCGTTACTGCAATAGATCGTTTCAAACTAGATCGGGTTTGGCACTCCATCATAAAACCCACGATAAAAGCAATCAATTTCGCTGTCCTGTATGTCCTTTAACCGAATTCCGAGAAAGTTCTTTTATAACTCATGTCCTTATGCACGAAAGCGATACATGTTTTCCCTGTCAGGTCTGTGCCAAATTATTCACCAGCAATTCGGAACGTTTACAACATTGGCGCATACACATCGAAGAGAGGCCACACGGCTGTAATCACTGCTATAGACGTTTCTATCAGAAAAATGTACTCAAAAATCATATGAAATCTCATGGTCTATATTATTGTCACTTTTGTCATAAGAATTTCCAATCAGATCGTACCATAAAGACGCCGTATGTTTGTGGTGAATGTGAAAAATCGCCATATGTTAAAAATCAATTGAAACGTCGTAAATCGAAGGTTAAGAGAAGGGCAATTGATTCGGAAGAGGAATAATAATAGTTGATCTATAAATATTTACTCCCATACTTATAAATGTTTCTTAAAGTTATTGATGGTTTATAACAGGATTTGTTTTTTGTGTAGAACTGTTTAATAAACCATTGTTAACTTTTTTGAATACAAAAGTATTAAAAAGTTAATAATTAATAACAAAATCTAAACTTTGAAAAAAAGGAAATTTGCGAGCAGAAGTTCTAGAACACTGGAATCAGCCATACACAAAAACATATTGTTTAAAAGTAAAGTATTTGAAATAAAAAGAAAAAATCATTTGAATTATTCGGCCTAGAGGTGTCAAATCTGGCCACAACAACGACTTCTCATCGAAAAATTGTCTAGGAAACAAACAGTTTGTTAAAGACTAGACTACAGACTAGACTATAGATTAAGCCATAGTCTAGACTATAGACTACACTGCAGACTAGACTTCAGACATGACTATAGACAAGACTTTAGACTAGACTATAGACAAGATTAGACTAAAGACTACACTAGAGACTTGACTACAGACTATACACGACTACACCAGACTCTAGTCTACACTATGGACTATACTATATACTAAAGTAGAGACAAGACTATATTAGACTATACTATAGATTATAATATATACTAAGCCATAGCCTAGACTAGGATACAGACTAAGCCATAGACTAGAATACACTACAGACTAGACTATAAATTAGACTAGATTAGTTAATTTGAAAAGAGGATGTTTGTTACATCAAATCCGAAGAAATACACATAGTCCTACATTGAACACTATCTACTACCCAATGGATAAACGCTAGTAATCTAATAAGGAATCAAATAATAACATTTTTAAATCTAATTGGAGATTTTTTTGGATAAAAAATAATTATTTGCATGAAGATGAAGACTGAACAGAAAAAAAAAACATCTGGCAACACTTACTGTGGTTCATGTCAACAAAAAAATTTTCTTCTCACACTCTTTTTGTCTCTCACACTCTCACGCCTGCTGGCTCGCTCTCACACACACGCAAACCCTACTATACCGTGTTTGACAGCTGTTAAAAAAAATAAACCGATTTTTCGTATCTATTGAGTGGCAAAGTGAAGAAGAAAAAAAAATTCAATCAGAAATCAAAAGAAAATTTTCATTACATTAATTATGAAAATTTATTAATTATAAGAAAATTGTTAAAAGAAAAGTGAATTTTATAGTGAAAGATTTGACGAGTAGCAACGAAACAATGTCGGCCATAGTTATAAAAACGGAAAAGGATGAAGAATGTGAAGATGTGAAACCAGTAATAAAAGAAGGCGGTGGTATAGTACAACAGGGAAGTGGTGGTAGTAGTGTTGCAGCAGGAGGCAACAATGCAAGAACTAGTGGTGTGGCAGCTGGGGGACCAAAAGAAATTGTTGAAAAAACCCAGGCGGCTTTGAAGGTGGCCAACGAAGCCAAGCAATTAAATATAAGATTAAAGGAGCCCCAAAAACTTTTACAACAACAGCCGACCACAAATCCCTTGGGTAAAAGAAGCAGCAGTATAGCAGCAGAGCAATTGCATACAGATAACAGCAATGAAACCACAAATGTACCCTACAAAGTGGGCAATAAACGTTTTCGGGTACAAACACCCGTGCGTTATGCTAAAAAAGTAAATACTCCTCCACCACCACCACCTGCCGCCACACAATTGCAACCACCACCCCCAGCAGCAAGCGCTATGACTCCCGCAAAATGCGGTGAAATATTTGTAACAAACAATGCCCGCAAATGGACTTTTGTTTGCACCTTCTGCCAAAAGTCTACCCGTGATATAGGAGAATTTGTATGTCACATTAAATATAAACACATGCCAACCGATTATCAGGAAGATGAAGACTTTGAGGAAGATGTTAATGATCTATTTGTCACTGGCCAGGAAGATAACTACAATAATCATGAACAAGATGTAAGAAATTATTTAAGCAAATCTAATACTTTGGAGGAATCCTCCTCACCAATTGAAATTCCTTATCAAACTATTGAAACTAAACAAGATTTAGCCACAAATAGCTGTCCATTACCCACCATTATACAGGTGTCCTCTATGGTAGCAGCTAAAACTTCTTATCCTTTAAATAACAACACCTCTAATAAAGAGGTTAGTTTGTTAATTTCAAAAAAAAAAAAGAAAATCATTTCTTTTCCATGTCCTAAATGTTTTTTAACTATTTTTCTTTAAAAAAATATATACCTAATGACTCATTTCGTTTTAGATTTTTCTTTTTTTTTCTTAAAAAACCAGCATGTCTATCGATTTTTCTTTTTATACATGTGTGTTTTTTACGAAAACTTTTTCTACAGTTGTGCCTGTTTGTTAGTTTGTATGTTTTTAAAAAAAAACCCACAGTTTTTCTTTTAGTTTTTATGAATTCTAGTTGTTTTTTTGTTAAAAACTGCTTGTGACGTTGCTCCTTGTTATCGTTGTTGGTGTTTTTTTCTATAATTTATGTAGCAAACAATTTTAAGGGTTGAAATTTTTATTGTAAAATTTTTTGGAAAAAAAAACGATAAATTTTTATACGTTTATGGTTTATGATTTAAATGGTATTATGAAGTTAACCCTTAAAAGTTTAATGATTTTAAAAAATAAGAGATTTTTATAAAAAAAATATATTTGTAAAAAGTACCTCTGTGAAAAGTACTTTATGTAAAAAGTACTTTTTGTGAAAAGTACTTTATGTAAAAAGTACTTTTTCTGAAAAGTTCTTTTTATTAAAATCACTTTTTGTAGCACAATAGTGAAATTAATATTGTAAAAAGAATTTTTTGTTGAAAGTACTTTTTATGAACAGTACTTTTTGTAAAAAGTTAGTTTTTGAAAAGTACTTTTTAAGGAAAGTTCGTCCCAATTTAGACATCAATCGTAGCTCAATTTCGACTTCAATTGTGACTTAATTTAGACTAAAATCTGAGTTCAATTTGTACATTATTCGTACAAAATTTATAAGTATCAATGGAGTACAATTTTGGATACGATCATGCTTCCATTTTTACTTTCAATTGGGGCTCAATTGAGGCATAAATTGTGTTTCAATTGTGATTTCCTTAAGAATTAATTGGACAATGATTTTAACTTCAACCGGACCACAAATTGTGTTTCGATTTATACTCAAATCTTAGTTCAATTTATACATTATAATACAAACAGAATTTTAGTATTAATCGTGTACAATTTTCCCACGATATTGGTTTAATTTTGAGCATCAATTGAGGCTCAATATAGGCGAAAGTCATGTTTAAATTTTGATGGCTATTGTGACTTCATTTAGGTATAGTAATCAGAACAGAATTTTCGACGAAATTTTGATACGATTTTGGTTTATGTATTTACCTATTATGAACTTAATTAATTGTAGAAACTAAAACATCAATCTGGAGGTAATTAGGTAGCAAGTGTGACACAATAATATCCTATCCATGCTGAATTTAGGCATGAATCTTGAACTAATCGGCACACAATTTAAACACCAATCGTAAGTCAATTCAGATACCGATCATGGTTTAATTTCGATAATTATCAGGCCTTTATTGCACTCCATTTGGGGTTCACTTTAGGAAGAAATTGTGGCTCATTTGTGGTCTAATTTATTGACAAATCTTAGTTCAATTTAAGCTCTGATCGGATCTCTATCGCGGTTCAATTTATATACAAATCTTTCTTTAAATTAAGAACAAATTAGGGGCACAATTTAGCCATTAATTGCAGCTCAATTGAATGTTCAATCTTCACTCAATGCAATAAGACATTGTTGATCTTGGTTCAATTTAAGCTTCTCTTGGCTTTCTATATGTTTGCATCATTTGAACAACAATCGTAAGTCAATTTAGACATAGATCACGATTCAATTCCGACTATGATCGCTCTTCAATTAAACTTTATTTAAAAGCGAATATTTCGTTGATCAAAGAACCTATTTGGACTCCAATAAGGCATAAATTGTGGTTCAGTGTAGACCAATCTAGATACCAATGTTGGTTCAATTTAGACTTGATTAAAAAACCAGTTTTAGCTCTTATCTGCTTTATATATATTATTATATTCAGTCCAATTTGAATATCAATCGTTGCTAACTATAAGCAACAATCAAGACACCAATAGTTGTCTTCTTTCTTCAATAATTAGTTTCCATTTAGACTAAAACTATTCATTAATTTAAACATAATTTCTATGTCTTCTAATTTAGCTATAAAGAGGACAATTGTCAACCTTAATTACCGGCAATTTTGATAAAAATTTACTTTCGTTCAAAGAACAATTTAGACATTATTTAAGACATTTATTGGCCTTATAATTAAGAAGTTAGGACAGCAATCTTGCTTATATTTAGACGCCCATGAAAGTCCTTTTTATTTCCCAATTTAGACACCAATTTAGTTTCATTTAAATAGTAATTATGATATAATATGGACGTCCAAAAGTGGTGAAATTTGTGGCCCTTTTGCAGATCTATTAATTTATCTTTTAAAACAATATTCTAGATAATTTTTTCTTTATAAAAAGTAACTTTTTAAAGAAAAAGTATTTTCTTGAAATAGCTAATTTTTAAATGTTTCTTTTTTAAAAACAATATATTAAAACACCAACAATAAACACTTTCTTTTAATAAAGTTAAACCCTTTTTATTTCACCTTTTTTTGCACAAAATAGTACTTCGATTGTACCAACTATTTGGATGTTAATGTACACACCGAGGCGGATGAACTGCCGCCACAAAATAATGGTGTCAAAGCTAAATTGCAAGCAAAACTCACACGACAATCTACAGCAACAACTGCAGCAGCAACAAAAGACCAACACAAAAGGCAAATGGAAAAAAGTAAATATATTGTGGATCTATTAGATGATGACGAAGACCAGGAACAAGGTCGTGACACTAACGAAAAGGATGTGCAGCAGAAAAACGAAATGTTTGACTATGAAATGGAAGAAGATGAAGACGGTGTAGAGATTGTGGACGATGACAATGATGACATGGAACCTATGGAAGAAGATAATTTATTATTCTTAAGATCTAGCTCTATAGAAGATGCTAACGTTGAGACAGGCGTTAAGGGTAGCAGTAAAAAATATCGTTCCCACGTAAGGGGCAAGGCCTATTGTAATCTATGCGATAAAACTTTCCAATACTATTCGCTATATCGCAATCATATGATCAAACATTCCAATATAACACCGTACAAATGTCAGTATTGCAGTAAAGCCTTTAAATCCAAACAGGCCATACGTTATCACATGAATACGCATACAAAAGAAGTACAATACACTTGTCCACTCTGTCCCATGACCTATGGTACAGAAAATCAATTCATAACTCATGTGCTAAATCATGAAAGTGATACTTGTTTTCCCTGTATGGTGTGTGCGAAAATTCTTAAAAGTGATCAGGAGCGTGATGAACATTTATCAACGCACAGCGAGGAAAGACCCTTCCCGTGTGGTTATTGCAATAAACGTTTTAGACAAAAGCATCATCTATCGAATCATTTGAAATTACACTGTCAATATCGTTGTGATTTCTGTAAAGAGGAATTCTCCTCGACCCAGACACAACGACGTCCTTATGCCTGTGCCTCGTGTGAAGAATATCCCGAGATAAGAATACAGGTAGAGAAACAACGTTCGAAAAATTTAAGTAATGAGGTCAATCCTTTAGAATTATCCTATGATAATATGCCTGCCAATGAAGCGGAGGCCACCGAATGTGTTGATTTGGCCACGGACGATGAGGATGAAGAAAGCGAGAACAGCACTAGTTTGTTGGGTGGAGCTAATGGCCAGAAACGTATTTCTTGTCAATATTGTCCACGTTCTTATAAACAAACCAGTGCTCTTAACTATCATATAAGACAAAAACATCCACAGATTTGGGCAGAAATGAAAGTAAATTAGATGTTTGAAAAGTGGTGCATGTAAATGAGAATTTATAAGTGATTTTTTTTTTTTCTCTGGGTGGGAGTAGTCAGTTTACTACTTTTGCTAAGTTGCCAGATATAGCAATTGTTTAGTATTCTCAAGGTTTAGGTTAAAAGTTTTAACTTGATAGAGTGATAAAAGTACTTTTGTATTAAAAGTACTTTTGTACTAGAGGTATCTTACGATAAACAAGACTATATACTAATCTGGTCTATAGTCTAGTCTATAGTCCAGTCAATAGTCTAGTCTACAGGCTAGTCTATAGTGTAGTCCATAGTCTTGTATATCAATTAATCACTTATAAATTCCTGTTTTAAATAATTGCATAATTTTTTTGAAAAGAAACATTAATATAAAATTTCCATTATAAACAATATAAGTTAATTTAAGAGAAGTTAAAAAATAATAGAAAAACAAACTTCCTTTTAGTATAAAAAAAAAGTAATATTAAAAATTAAAAACATTAAGCATCAAACACATTTACATTATTATGAACTCTTTACTATTAATTAACTTTATAACACAACATTCCATTCAACACACACACACACACTTTTCTAGTCTTCATTATAATTTTCATTTTTCTTTTTAAACATATTTAACTATTATAGTTTTGTTTTATAACATCCAACAGTATTCCTCAATTTGTTTTCATTTTATTTATTATTTTGTTTTTATTTTATTTTTATTTTTGTATTTTATTTTTTTTTAAAGAACTGAAAATTATTGCGAAAAAACTCCTTAGATTTCATTAAAAGTAATTTTAAGCTTAAATTTATTTTTATTTTTTAATTACATAACATTTATGATTATACAAATCTATGTTTAGTTAGTTGTAAATAATATTTAAAATATAATTCTATTAAAATAGAAATAAAAGAAGGAAAAAAAAAAAGAAATGAGAAACAACAAATTTGTAACCAGAGATTAGAAAAATACGGCAACAAAAAACAACAAAATTTTCAATAAAAATGATATAAATATAGCAAAAAGGATTTGTTTAATATAAGTATAAAAAGCTTTAAAAGCTGTATATCTTTAATAACATGAGAAGCTTTAAAAACTGTAAAAATGACTGGTTTTTCTAATGTTATATTAAGAGCTTTGAAACTTTTTTATCTACCACTACTTAAACAGCTTTTAATGCTGTTTCATTTGAAAGTTTTAATGTGTTTTAAAACCCAGCTCTTCTAAGACAACAGAAGAAACGCTTGAAAAGCTTTAAATTCCGCTCATCGTAGACAAGTTAAAAAGCTTTTTAATCTATCATTAAAAATCATATTAAAAGCTAAAAAACAGCTATGTCTACTTAAAAAGCTTTATCTAAGACTATATAAGAAGCTTCAATTAAAGCTTATTTAAGATTATATAAAGAGCTTTAAATTCCCTTCAGTTTGGACTATTTAAAAGTCCAAAGTAAAGACACGGGAAGAGCTTAAATGCCGCTTAGCTTAGACTATTTTAAAGGCTTATTTAAAGTTTTGCAAGGAGTACCTTTTAAAAAAATTATTTTACTTTTATAAAAGAGCTTTTCTTTTGTGGAAAAATCTCTTATTTTATAAAAAAAAAACTTTTTAAAATATTCACAACTTTTTTGAATTTATTACTTTATTTTTTTTTATTAATTTAACTTAAAAAGACTAAACTTTTTGTTTAAAGCATTTCCTCACTTGTCTGCAAAACCATCAAGGAAATCTTTACCAAAATTTTGAAATTCTCATTTTTGTGGCGCAAACAAAAGTATTGGCCAAAAAAAATTGTCAATTAATTAATGATTCTCCTTGCTCTGGGAACTTCAATTATAATGACGCCTTTGATACTTATTTAAAGCTTCCATGACCATATCATCCGGTGACTTAGTTTCAAAACGAAATGGAGCAATATAATGTTTAACTGGCTGCTGGCGATATTCCTGACTTAAACACTGTAAGGGGGCAGGAGGCGAGTACTTATCATCAGCTAAACATAAGAATCGACCAATGACAGAGGGTTCTACGAGAGAGTGTTTTAGCAGCAATTGTGAAATGTCGGTAATGCAATATTCATTGGACAGGGGTAAGAGCAGGTCATGTTTTCTAGAATTATCCAAACGATCACAGTCTATAAAGGGTATAACAAAATCTAAATCTTCAGCATTCGATTTTGTAGAGGATTTATGAAAATCTCTGGTGGGGGGAGTGCCTTGGTGTGACTGCTTTTTAGAGGACAAAGCTGTGGTTAGATCAATGTTAGAGTTGTGGGGTAGAGACGACGTTAGCTGGGATCCCTCTGTTTTTGGCAAGTCTTGGACTTGCAATTTGTTGATGGCACTAGTTAAACTGCTGATTTTGTTATCTTTGGGAGTATTAACTGCAGTGGCTTGTGTTAATAGCGGCAGTTCAAACTTCAAGCCAGACTTATCACTATTATTATTGAATTGCAGTTGTGGCAAAACAAATCCTGTTGATTCCTTATCTTTAACATTGTTTGTATGTTTTTCTTGTAATTGTTTTAATAAAAATTGATTGAGTTGGCTATTGGGAGGAGTATTGCTACAGCTGCCGTTAGTATTTGTATTTTCCGTACTAGCGTTAGATGGTATCTTTAGTAAAGGAATATTAAATTTGGGCGGACTAAAGGCGGCAGCCTCTTGAGCCGTTTGGGCTGCAAATTTGTTTTTAATGGCATTTAACAATAATTGATTATTTTCTTGATTTGTGTTTACTATCGCTGTTGTTGTGTTTACTAAATTAAGATCCATGGAATTCCCCTTTGTTGTTATTGTGGTTTCAAAATTGTTGGAAATGTTTATATTGCACAATCTTTATTATTTTTTTAAGCCAGCGTTTTGTATTTTTTTTATAATTGGCAGTTTTATTTCAAACTTTAATTTACTTTCGTTTTATTTAATTATTTAAGTATAATTTTAAAATTAAATAAATAAAAATTTCTCTTTATAACAAAAGAAAACTTAATAGTGACGCATTAAATAAAAGAAAACAGTCAACACAAAGAATTTTTAACAGATGATATTATGTTTGGTTTTTATACAAAGCAAAATGTCAAACTTTATATATAAAAAAACTTTAACATAAACAAAGCTGTCAATCTGCATGTATAATAAATTCTTAAATGTCAGCCTAAATACACTTTGATTGTCAACTTAGCTATTGTGTTGTTGTTTGCTAATTTTTTGCCAGCCATTCACCGTGGTGTAATAACAAATATTTTTTTTAAGTACAGAGTTGTGTTAATTGTTAAATGACGGCGGCGAAAAGTAAAAATAACGGTTCTAAATAACAACAGAATAAATTATAGAAATATCCTCTTTTTAAACATTTTTTCACAAATTTTTTATTTTTTTACATTTTTATTAATAGAAAAAAAAAAAAAAACTAAAGTCACAAAACACAATCTTTATAAATTTTTAGACGACTTATTCGCACATACATTTTTTAATAAATATTTAATAGATTTTAAGCACATTACTCTATACTCAAGCCTTTTCCAAACGACAAATAGGACCCTCTTCCACCATTTTCAAATCCACCTTAGGGCCCACCAAATCTCTGATATTATTAATGCCATACTTAATCATAGTGGGTCGTTCCAAAGACAAACCCCAGGCAATGACATTGACATTCTCCGGCAAACCCATGGGCAGCAACATTTCCGGACGGAAAACTCCCGAATTGCCGACCTCAATCCACTTGTTGAGACCTGGATGGAAACAGAAAATTTCCATACTGGGTTCAGTGTAGGGATTATAGGCGGGCTTAAATTCTAATTGAGTAATGCCCAATTTGCGGAAGAATTCATAGAGGGTACCAATCAAATCACCCAATGTTAGACCCACATCGGCTATAACACCCTCCACCTGATGGAACTCGGCCAAATGAGTGGCATCCAATGTTTCATTACGGAACACTTTGTCGATACTGAAATATTTGGCGGGCTTAAAGCCTTCTGGTTGATTGGCCAGCTTATATAACATGCGGGCACTCACTGCTGTAGTATGGGTACGCAAAAGATTCTTTTGAGCCTCCTCTAATTTCCAGTCATAACCATAACCTTGAGAACCATAACCACCCTTGGAATGTACTTCTTTTACACGCTGCAAATAGTCTTGGGGAAATTTATAACTTTTGGCGGGATGATTGATAAAGAAAGTGTCGTGGGCATCACGAGCAGGATGCTGTTGAGGCTGGAATAGAGCATCAAAGTTCCAGAAGGAGGATTCCACATAGTTGTTAGTAGGCATTTCCGAAAAACCCATTTCCAAGAAAATTTGTCTGAATTCAGTGCGTACTTTAAGCAAAGGATGCAAATGACCACGAGCAGGAGGAGCACCTAGAGCATCAAAATTGTAGGCTTTAAATTTCAAGTCTTTCCACAGGCCGGAGGCCAACATATCAACTGTCAAATCTGTTTCCAATTTAGTGAGAGTGGTAGCGAATTCTGGTCCCTTGGATAAAATGAAACTTTTGGTGGTGATCTCCTGCAAAAGTTTACGTTTCTTGTATTCCGTTACCAAGTTGGCGGCCAAATCGGTTTTACCATTTACAATGGCCACCAGATTTTGTTGTACCGTATCTTCTATTTTATCCACCTTGCGTTTAACTAAAGGAGGATTTACCGATTTATCTACCATAATCCAACCCTGAGACATGGCCTTACTGAAACCCACCTTGGCATTGGGACCACTTTTCATTAGTTCCGCTTGCGATATGCCCTCGGCTGGTACAGCATTATAGAGGACAGCCTCATGACTGCCATTGGCCACTACCAATTGTCCCTCTTCGGTTATTTCTAATGTTTTGCGTGACGTTGTCTCCGCATTGACCAACTCACCATGCGCTTGTATTGATTTTAAGGCACCCACGATTTTTTGATGATCCACACCAAATACCTCCACCAAGTCGAGGGTATCGACTTTATCGACATTTTCCAAATGTTGTAGAATTCTTTCGGTCAAATCGGGATGCATTTTAGCAGCGAATTTTATTCACAATTTCCGTAGTCGAGAACACCGAATCGTGTTTCTGTTTTTTTGCCACAACATGCAATAAGAGCCCTGCGCCGACAAATATTAATGGCGGCGGCAGTCACTAAAATGTTGGTGGCGACTTAAAATAGATTATAAGCCGTCTAAGTTTTCAGTTATTTTTAAATTTTCAACAATTCAAAATATGCGTTCGAGAGCTAGATGTGGAACTAATTAAATTTTACCTGGAATATTATTATTATTAGTCTACAAAAACTTAGCTGCAACAAAGCAACAGTATTACATTCGACACCATTACAACTGGAAATGAACCAAAATTCAACGAAGTCACAGAGTCTAAATCCGATTGTAGCAAATTATTTCTCTTCTGCAGGGCGATTTAATACAATTAACCTTAGAATCCAATACGCACATAATAGGATACATCCCACCAACAAGGGTGGCTTTAATGACACACCAACAATTCGATTTCAGATTTACATATTTAATGAAAACTAAGATGTAAAATTGTGATAATCATAAGGAACCAACCAATTGAGGGGTAGACTCTATATAAGACATTCTCTACAGTGCGATCAATTTGTATAAAAGGCGGCTTACAATTGTTTCTTGTAAATATTCGGCCACCAGTGTTTGGAGACAAAAAGAACATGACTGAAAAGCACACCACACGATCTCAATTCATATTTCGGGTGTAGTAGGAAAATCCGGTAGATTTCAATGAACACTTTGAGCAAAGTTTTAGATTGGCCAAATTTCAATGAGCGGCTTATTTAATAAGAGAATATAATTTTATATTGTAAAATTATGTGGTGAAATTTTCAAGCCGTCTTAAGTTGAAAAATTTTCGACAGCGACGGCTTTGAAATTTTGTTCGGCGGCTAGGCTTACTCAGCCTATCGGAATTGTTTTATACAATTTTTTGACGTTTTTGAAATTGTATGAGAAAAAGTGATGCCAAGTTTTAGTTATAAAAACACTGAGAAAAAAGATTGAGGTTAGACAATTTAAAGCGAATTTTCTGTAGAAAACCGTTTGCAAGTTAATAGTATATATATAAAACTGTTTCCAAGAATAAATTTTCTATATAAATGATTTCAAGCTAAAAATTTATATACAACTGTTCCCATTACATTTTATATTTTACAGAAAACTATTCCCAGGTGAAAAGTTTCTATATAAAATCGTTCCCAAGAGAAGAGTCTCTATAGAAAACAGTTCCTATTAAAATATTTTCTATAGAAAAGTTTCCAAGAATAGTTTTCTAAAAAATTATCAAATACAACATTTAAATTTAATACAAATATTAAGATTAAAGGTTTTGTTTCCCAAAAACAGCTTAAACTGTTTTATTAGTAAGTTTTTATTAAAAAAGAAAGGAAATTATATTTTTACTTATAAACACATTTTAAATATGTCTTAATCCTTATGCGAATGTGTTGAAATGGAGAAATCTAAACGTTTGAAAATAATCGTTAAAATAAATATGATAAAAACAAACGAAATAATTAATAAGGGTTCTTGCAACAGCAAGATTTTCGAAAAATTATAACGCAATTCAAAGTTGGAAATATGATTTTCCACCAAATTCTTTTTGGTAAAGGTTATGGTAGGACGTCCAAAAGTATCCAAATAAGTGTAGGTTAAACCATCATCTTTTCTTTGCACTGAATAGGGTGTCTTCAATTTGATATTTGTACATCCCTCTGGTAAAATGATGTTCACAACAGCCTCATCAATAAACATATCATCGTAAATATGATCAATAAGACGCATTTTGAGGACATAATCACCACCATTATTGAATAAATACTCAAAGGAGGGTATGTTATAGCCGAGGGTGTATTGAGTTTTCCAGCCACCGAACAGGGGGAAACGTGGTCTCAATTCAACATCCACATATTCACGCAATACATTCATATTGGAGGTGGAAATGTTGCCATTGCTATCGCGATAGTATACACCAAAGGCGGAGGCGGGTAACATGGTTTTATAGGATTTAATGGCAGCCTGACCAGAGCGTCCATCTTTTTGGAATTCATAGCGCGAGAAAGAGCCCTTCAATTGAGCACCTGAGTGGGTTAATTGTATATTCTCTTCGACGGCAATATTACCCCAGTGTGAGATTTGTATGGTGCGCTCCAAACGATTGACGGTCATAAAGGGATTTTGATTTTCGTAGTGAATGTAGAGATTTTCCTTGGTAAGAGCTGGAAGGATACAGAGTTTAAAATGAAAAAGACACTAAGTCATAAATATGTAAAAAAAACCTGTTCGCTTGTACAATTTGCATCGAAAAATTGTTTGAGGGAAACTGTTCCCATCGTAAAATTTTCAATAGAAAACTTCTCCCAAGAGTAAATTTCGTATAGAAAACTGTTTCCAAGGTAACATTTTCTATAGAAAACTGTTTCCAAGACAACATTTTCTATAGAAAACCGTTCCCAAGGCATTTTCTACAGAAAACTGTTCCTAAGAGAAAATAAATGTCTATATACAAAACTGTTCCCAATAAAGCATTTTCCCAAAAGACTTTTCTATAAAGTAATCTATAGACTATTACATACGCGAAAACAAAAATATCTTTACTAAACTTAGGACAGAAAATTCTATCTCTCTGAGTGGCATTAGTTTTCCCAAGAGTCATTGTTAGTAAATAATCTCTTGAATTCAATATTTCAGTGCTTATTTAAACCCTCAAAATATCACTAAATTGTTAACATTGCTAAAAAACACCAAAAACATGTACACCCACTTTAATCCCAGCAGCCAACAAATTAAATTTACAAGTTTCCACTCACCTGCTACATTTTCATAAGGTCCATATTTTATTTTACTACCAGCTAAATTATAAGGTTTTGTTTGATTGTAGGCAATAACATTGGAGGAACTTAAAACCACTTGAGTCTTCTGTTCAACGGTCTTGTAGGGTGTGTAGAAGTACAGGAAACCATTATATTTAACCAATTGTTTTTCGGATTGTTTGATTTCCACAGGGTATGGTTTAATCACTTGACTATAGACCAATTCCACAAAGAACTCTTGATTGCTGGCGGCCGTGGGCAATTCAACATCGATATATGTTTGTTGATCCTTTTCAACTCTACGTACGGTTAATTCCTTTTTCCGGCCATCTTTGACAGAAATATAGGACAAGGAGTCGGCAAATTCTTCAGGAATGACTAATGAGTACTTGTTAAATTGTTTGCCGGCATCATCGGTGACGCTTATTTTCAGCGATTCTTTAGCCAACTGGGTAGAGAGATCTAAAATACGATCAACATTTTTGTTGATTAGCTCAGGAGTAGCCCAGTTTAGGTTGAGGATCAAGAGGAGCAGACAAAAATTGCTGGTTAAATGCTTAATAAATATTTGCCGCACCATTTTGTTTGATATACTAGACACGTAAGAAAAATTTTCTTCTCACACCAGAGCCCTGCGCCGACAAATATTAACGGCGGGGGGCGACTGACACTAAATATATCGGCGGCGGCTTAAAATCGACTGTAAGCCGGCTAAGTTTTCAACTACGTTTAGTTTTTAAATTTTCAACGATTTTAAATAAAAACGGAATCCGAGAGATCAGAAAGTGGGATTTTGGAAGCACATATATTGAAAAATATTCCAAAAGTTTCACTTTTTTATACAAACCTTGATGACCTTGCCAAATTTCATAGAGATCGGGACTCATTTGAGTCCCATACAAAGTCCCCTTCAGAAGATTAATTGAATGTCCAAAATTAACTTATAAACACAAATATCGCGATGAAATTCAGCACAATAAAATATTATGTACATATAAATATATTCACAAATTTGTATCATTCTTGGTCCATATTTACCCCTAGCCCCCATATAAAGCCTCTTTCAGAAAATTAGTTTTTCATCCATAAATTGCTTAAATGTATCGGAACAAGGTAATAGAAGATAACCCCGTGTCTATATTAGACAAATATTTATTATGCTAAACGTCAAATTGTTATCATAATAAAAAATTAGCAGGTACAGACGGCATTTATTAGCGTTATAACGCCGTTATGCCAGTGTTGTCTAAACAATTGTTTAGACAACGTTGTCTTGATAACAAACGTCATTTTATTGTAAAATTTGTTTAGAATTTTGTTTTTGTGCAATCAAAATTGATTTTTAACATTAGTTTTAGTGAAATTAGTGTTTATTTACAAAATTTGCATTTAATTTTAATTGTTTTTATAAAATATAGCATTATTTCAATAAAATTATCTGTGAGTTGTCGTGATAATATCAGCGTTTTATTACCCCTATGTATTAACATAAACAAAAAACTGACAATTTTTCTGCCGACGTTTTGTCAAGTGCCGTGATAAATATTTGTCTAATATAGACATGGGGTTAATGCTTTATTATGAAAAATAACATTTAATATTCATAACTGGTGTAGGGTACCATATGGTCGGTCACGCCCGACTATACTTTCTTACTTGTTTAACGTTTAACATTTTTTATGTGCTGCCAATGTTTGTCACTTGAGCTACGCATATATCTGGCAACTTCACAAAGATGAAGTGTTACCATTTTTTAGCACAAAAAAAGTACTGCAAGGTTGTGGCAATAATGAAAGTCAATCTTCACTGTCAACTTTTTTTCTATAAACTATGACAGCTGTAGTATATTAAAATCTATATTGAAAAAACACCTCACCGAAAACTACCACACTCTTGTTTAAAATCGTTTAATACTGTTTATTTTTTTAGCACAGTTTAGTTGTTTTTTTAGTTTATTTTTTTATTATTATTATTTCAACACAACAATAATACTTTCGCTTTGAATTAATTAACATTTTTAGTAATTAGCAAAAGAAAAAGGAAATATAGCCCGTGTAAACCAAAGAATAAGAAAAAAAGCCATGCCAATAAATTTTCAACTATTGCCAGGAGATAAGTATGATGGACGTTGTGCAGAAATCTATATAACGGAAAAACAATTCCTAATCTATCACTGTTCGGTGTGTGAGGAAATCTATACAACATTCAATCAACTTTTAAGCCACATTACAAAAGAGCATTATGAAAATACTCAAGAATTTAAGACAAACGAAAAGAAGACAAGTGTTGCAACAGAAGGCAATGAAGAAAACCAGTTACCTGTAAAAGAGGGCAACAATTTGATGTCTAAGACAATGGTATTAGAAACAGAACCTGCTAAAACTTTAAATGAAACGGAAGAAATTATTCAAACACAGGAGTTAGAGGAAAAAGAGGTAATTTCTTTAAATTTTCTTAAGTTTTATGAATAAATTTAGTTTTGTAATATTATCCTTAGCAATTGGCTGCCCCTTTAAACTTTAGTGTAACTTCGCCACAACGCAAGAAACCCCGCTTTGTAACGGGCATGTTGAAAAACTCTACCGTAGCTAGAACTAAACTAAATTCCTTGACACGTTATCAGTTTAATCCCTTGGAGGAACGTAAATATGTTTGTGGCATTTGTGGTTTTGCTTTTAAGGAGAAATACAATTTGCGTGGCCATCTGCTCAGACACTCCAATCAAAAGAATTTCCCCTGCTCCCTTTGTCCCAAAAAGTTTTACACCAAAGTTGAATTGCGTTTACATGAATATCGCCACAAGGGAGAACGTCCCTATTTGTGTAATGATTGTGGCATGGGCTTTGTTAGCAATGGCTCGCTGACACAACACATTAAAAAACATCATAGTAGTCTACCACATGCCTTTAAATGCGAGCACTGTGATAAAACCTTTCCGAACTTCTATCAATTGCGCGAACATCAATTAGTTCATTCGGAGGAACGTAACTTCAAATGCTGTGAATGTACGTTAAACTTTAAATGCCAAAAGAATCTAAACAGTCATATGAAATTACATGAAAATAAGCGTAAATATCGTTGTGACAACTGTGTTATGGGTTTTGCATCTGAAGCGGCTTTAAACATGCATCAACGCAAGATTCACCAATTTAAAGATGAAGATGAAACTACAATTGAGGTGGTTATAGAAAGACATGAGCTAGAGGATAAAACAGAAAATACTGATGATAGCCTTGCAGAATTTATAATTGAAGAGGGAGTATTGGCTGTGGAACAAAACTTTGATGAATATGAACTGGTACAAACACTTACAGATTTGGAGTGTAATAAAAATGCTTAAGTTATTAATTAAATGAAAAAAAGCAATTGTGATGAATTTGTTGAACAAAATAAATGAATTTTTATAAATAAAATATAATTTTTATTAAAATTATAGTTTTTTTCTAAAAGAAAACTTGTTTCTTTATATAAAACTGTTTTAAAGAAAGAAAAAACAATCCCTTTTTTCTCTCTTTCTTATCACTTAAGTTGTTTATAAACAAATTATAGTTTTTTTCCTAAAAATTTTTTTTTTATAAAACTGTTTAAAAAAACAAAATCTCTTTTCTCATTTTCTTATCACTTAAGTTGTTTACAAATAAAACAACGGTTAATTTTTAACGTTCTTCCCAAAAAGTGCTACCAAGTTTTCAAAAAACAATGAAAAGGCATTACTTTTTCGCAATAGGTAGACAAAAATTTGTTTTTTTTTTAGTATACTACAACTTGATGTGACTTCCTCCAGTGTTTTTTCTTGGAAAATATTGATTATTGTAAAGAAAATTTTTCAACAATAAACTGTAAAATCTTAAAAACTATTTAAAGCAAAGGAAAAATATGACTGACATACAATTAAATACAAACGCCAGCGATAAAATGGCTTCTTTGATGAAGGAAGCGGAAAATTTAAAGCTGAAACTGGAAGAAGAACGCCAAAAGTTGAATGATGTTAGTCTTTCGTCTATAGCAGAACGGTTGGAGCCCATTTCCTATGTTAATATAAAACCACGTAAGGTGCTCAAGGGTCATCAGGCGAAAGTTTTGTGCACCGATTGGAGTCCAGACAAACGTCACATAATCTCTTCTTCACAAGATGGCAGATTAATTATATGGGATGCTTTTACCACCAATAAAGAGCATGCTGTTACCATGCCAACTACCTGGATAATGGCCTGTGCTTATGCCCCCTCGGGTAATTATGTGGCTTGCGGTGGTTTGGACAACAAGGTAACAGTTTATCCCATTACCAGTGATGAGGAGATGGCTGCCAAGAAACGTACGGTGGGTACCCACACCTCCTATATGTCCTGTTGCATTTATCCGAATTCGGATCAGCAGATCTTAACGGGTAGTGGTGATTCAACTTGTGCTTTGTGGGATGTGGAATCTGGCCAGCTATTGCAAAGTTTCCATGGTCATTCGGGTGATGTAATGGCCATTGATTTGGCTCCTAACGAGACAGGAAATACTTTCGTATCGGGCAGTTGTGATCGTATGGCTTTCATATGGGATATGCGTTCGGGTCAAGTGGTCCAATCGTTTGAAGGCCATCAATCGGATGTGAACAGTGTTAAATTTCATCCTAGTGGTGATGCCATTGCTACCGGTTCCGATGACAGCAGTTGTCGTTTATTTGATATGCGTGCCGATCGTGAAGTGGCTGTTTTCTCTAAGGAAAGCATCATTTTTGGGGTAAATTCTGTGGATTTCTCGGTTAGTGGCCGTTTATTGTTTGCTGGCTATAATGATTACACTGTCAACTTATGGGATACTCTAAAATCAGAACGTATTTGTTTGTTATACGGTCATGAGAATAAGGTATCTTGTGTGCAGGTGTCACCAGATGGCACAGCTTTATCCACCGGCAGTTGGGATTATACTATACGTGTTTGGGCTTAAGGAGGGATTTAAACTTAATATCATTTTTCGTTAAAATGAGAAGAAAATACATGTTCGTTTGCAGTTGGGAACAGATTTGGTAACAGTTTTCTTGAGAAAATGTTTTTTTGGAACATTTAAAAAAAATCCACAAAGCAGTTCAAGAAAAATGTTTTTCTTGCAAAGCTTTTCCTTTAGAAAATATTGCACTGGGAATAGTTTAAAACATTTTCTTGGGGATTATTTATTAAAAAGCGTTCTCTGGGAACAGTTTTCTAACTCATTTTAATTGAAAATAGTTTTAGCCAAATATAATATGCTCTTACTTGTACTCTGATATATTTTAAAGCATAAATTCTGTAGTTTGTTGTAAAATGTTAACTTAATTATTTAATAAATGTAATTTAAACAAGCCATTCGAGTTTAAAATGTTATTTTCATTTTAATATTACTGTTATCAAGTGTTAGATGTTGTTTGCTGCACATCCAACAGACCGCTATCCTGTTTATGTTTACGCATATGGGCCGACAGTCCAGCCGCCTGAGAGTATGCACTATTGCATATTTTACACACATATTTCTTTATGCCCGAATGCAGATGACGATGATGATAGAGGGATTTACTGCTGGCGAAAGCCTTACCACAAACCGTACACACATGAGAACGTTCTGTAGCATGTACTGCCTGATGATCTTGTAGAAAATGTTTGGAGGCAAAACGACGATCGCATTGACTGCAAGCATAGGGCTTTTCACCGGTATGCGTGCGTATGTGAACGATTAAAAACTCTTTACTACGCTGGCGTGAACCACAAATTTCACAAACAAACGTCGCCAGAGCAAAATGACTACGTTTGTGAGCACTCAGGCGGCGATTGTTGGGAAATGCCTTACCACAATTTTCATAATCACAAATGAAATTTCTCGATTCTATGTGGCTTTCACCATGATAGCGTAATGCTTCATATTTATCAAAGACTTTATTGCAAATCTGGCAAGTGTAACCTATGTGGGAACGCTGGTGTAAGGTTAGATAACGTTTTTCCACAAAGGATTTGCTGCATTTATCACATTGAAAAGTTTTTGGTTCATGTTGTTGTCGTATGTGAAAACGTAAATAGAATTTTGTGGTAAACTTACGTTTGCATTCCGAACATTCGAAACGTTTTTCTTTGGAGGAAGATTTGTCCGTGGCCTTAATACAAAAGAGAAAATTGTCTTGAGTTTTCTAGTGTGTTGTTCAACAAAGTTATATATTTACGCCTGGGAACAGTTTTCTTGAGAAAATCTTCTGCCAACTACAGATTTCTATATAGGTAAATTTTTATCTTAAAAGAGTTTTCCATAAAAAATTAGCTTGGAAACTGTTTTCTTCAGAAAGTATTCTCTGAAAACAGTTTTTCTTCAGAAAGTGTTCTCTTAAAACAGTTTTCTTTAGAAAGTTTTCTCTTGGAGCAGGTTTCCATTGTAAAATATTGTTTGGTTACCATTTTCTATAAAAACATGTCCCTTGGTTACAGTTTTCTATTAACAATTCCACTTACCTTTTTTAAAATTACCAAAGACTTTGACAAATCCTCTGAATCCTCACTTGAGTTCACATGTTCCAATTCATTTTCAGTAACTACTCCTCTGTTCTCCTCTTCACTATCACTGCCTCTGCCACCTTTAGACGGTTGTTTAATATCAATCTCAATTGCTACATTCCCCTTATCGCAGTCATTATTTGTAAATTCTTCTTCATCTGTGTCATTTTCGGTTTTAATATTATTTTTCCATTTACTATTGTAATTATTTGTTATAGTTTTATCATTACAAATTTCTGGCCAATGCGTCAGACGAAAATGTTTAATAAATTCCTCATAATCAAATATTTTAATATCACATAATTTACAGACGATTATAAATGAAGTTTCGGTTTGACAAACAATTTCGCCACAAGTTTTATTTGTGAAATTTGTACAAGTTGTGGATAGTGTACAAGTTTTTAACATTTTTTTTTTTAAAGAAAAATAAACAAACTGACAATTTCGATTGTTTACAATGGGGAATTCAGTCAAGGTGATACCATTTTTTCTTTATATAAGAAATTTGACAGCAGAGTTTTTATTTTGTTTTCTTTAGTTGTTAGTGATGCCAAGTTTCATAATGGAAAAATCAACAAATTTTAAAAATACCGTAATTGTTCAAAAATTCCGTTCTTATGTTTAAAAGTACAATTTAGTTTAATACACTTTGCTAGAAAAATATATCATTTCTAGGGGAATTTGTTGGCATATTGGCCTGTTCCTTATGTTTACGCATATGAGCCGATAATCCTGCACACTGTGCATAGGCGGCACCGCATATCTTACACACGAATTTCTTTACTTCCAAATGTAAGTGTCTATGATGGTATAATGCCTTAGGACGATTAAAGCCTTTACCACATACTTCACATACATGTTTACGTTCCGTTTCATGACACGCCATATGTTCGCCCAACAAAGATTTTGATGTAAAGCGCCGATCACATAAATTGCAAGCAAATGGCTTTTCACCCGTATGTCTACGTATATGATCGTTTAGTTCTTTTGTCGAGCGATAACGACCGCCACACAATTCACACACCAGTGTAGGTTCTCGTATGTGTAAGCGCATATGAGAGCCTAGACGACGTTTGGTGGCAAAGGCTTTATTGCAATCTTTATAAGTGCAAATGAAATTTTTTGTTTCTATATGAGACTCCTTGTGAGTACGCAATGATTCGTATTTCATAAAAGACATATTACAAATCGGACAGCTGTAACCATTATGAGAACGTTGATGAAGGCCAAGTTCATGTTCAGTCACGAAAGTTTTACTGCATTTATCACAATTGTACTGTACAGTTTTATGCTTAAGTTTATGTGCTTCATAGTTGGACTTGTTGCTAAATGTTCGTGTACACATCTCACATTTAAAGGGACGTTCTCTTTTTTTGTTGACTTTCACAGGCTACAATCAAAATTATCACCAAATTTGTTGTAAATAATTGTTTGCAAATCTTCTTACCTTTTTCAAGATAGCTTTGGTTACTGTCATATCATTTGAGTCCTCATTGTATTCCTCTTCCATTTCCGGCTGCCATTCATCATCTTCATTTGTCTCCAAATCCTCTTCTGTTTCATCTAAATGGTCTACATCACATAAAATTTTCGTTTCCTCATATATTTCAGGTTTTATGTCTTTTTCATTTTCGATTTCGTCTGGGACTTCGTTGCCTCCTTCATTCTTTACATTTAGCTGCTGTGTCCAGTGGTTATTGCGAAAATGTTGCAGAAATTCTTCATATTCGAAAATTCTTAAGTCACAAAATTTACATATAATGCTGAAGGCAGTTTCACTTTGACAAACAATTTCGCCACAAGTTTTGTTAGTTAAATTATTATATTGTATAGGTAAAAAACAATTTTTTAACATTTTTCTTAAGGAAAATGTTTATATTTCGCGTTTTGTTTACAATTTGTGAAAATGTTGCCAAGTTTATGTTTGAACAGCTGTTTAAATACCTGTAGTTTAATTGTGGTGCCAAGTTTTCAAAGCAAAACAATAATGAGGCGATTTCTAATAATGGCAAATAAACTGGTCGTTTTTTCATAAAAAATATATCTAGAAATTGGAGGAAATGCTTATGGTCTTTACAGATAGGCTCATGTAATGGACTACAAACATAAGGGAAATATCTCTGTTAAATACAAATTTATAAAAACACAAACAACTTTATTTTATAGCAGTAAATAATACGTTAAATAAATCATTTGTCCTATTTGTTGTAATTTCTGTATCATCGCAAATTTGTTCCTCTTTATGTTTACGCATATGAGCAGATAATCCAGCACACTGGGCATAAGCAGCACCGCAAAGTTTACACACAAATTTCTTTATATCCAAATGCAAATGTCTATGATGATACAAAGCCTTGGCACGATTGAAACTTTTACCGCAAACTTCGCACACATGCTTACGTTCCGTTTCATGACAGGCTTTATGTTCGCCCAGTCTAGATTTTGTCATAAAACGTCGATCACATAAACTGCAGGCAAATGGCCTTTCACCGGTATGCGAACGCATATGGTCGGTTAAAGCTATTTTATCACGTTGCCTAGAGCCGCATACATCACAAACAAAACAGGCTCCCCGTATGTGCACCAGACGTATATGACGTTGCAGTTGCCTTTGACCAGCATACGATTTTTCACAATTCTCATAAGTACATTTGAAATTTTTCGTTTCTACATGAGTTTCTTTATGTGAAACTAAGTTATTCCTTTTCTTAAAAACCTTCTGACAAATATCACAAGCATAGCCGTCGTGTAAATGTTGATGCTGCATAAGTTGCGACTCTTCGTCAAAGGATCGTGAGCATTTAGTGCACTTGTAAGGCATAATCTTATGCTCTTTTATATGTGTTTCATATGTGGACTTTTTGATAAAGGTACGTGCACATATAGGGCATTTATAGTCATGTTTTTTTCTCTTCAGGTTGGGTTTTTCGTTCTCCACACATTCCTGCATTGTAACTAATTATTATTTGTAGATTTAATAATTCCCAATAAATCTCTACTCCTACCTTCTTTAATATTCCTATGGATTCCTCCCTATCACTGCAACTGTCTTCCCCTTGATTAGAAAATCCACTATTACTAATACTTTGCTGCATTTCCAACTCCGTCCTCCAGTCATCTTCACTATATTGCAACGGCTCCTCCTCAATATCAAAATCATTTGCCTGCTCCTTTTCTTCTAGTTTTAGTTGTTTAACATCTTCAATTTTAGGCTGCGTAACTGGATATTCATTGTCTGATAGAGTTTTGTATTTGTTATGTGTCCCATTAATTTCCGGCCAGTGTATAGTGCGAAAATGTTGGACGAATTCATGAAATTCGAATATTTTTATTTGACAAAAATTACAGATTATGCTAAAAGCTGTTTCACTTTGACATATTATTTCTCCACAAGTTTTAGGCGAGAAATTGTTATACTGCGCGGTTAAAATACAATTTTTCAGCATTTTTTGAAATAATTTTTCATTAATTGCGATGGAGATTTGTTTACATTTTTGTTAAGGTGCAGCCTAGTCATGTTGTATTTGTTTACAATTTGTAAAGTGCTACCAAGTTCTTGAAAAAAGTAAACAGTTTGGGATATGGCGGTTCAAAATCTGACATTTAAACAATTTTAATATACCATAATATAAAAATTATATGGTTGTATAATTTTAATATACTTCATATTTTAAATAGTTATATAAAAATCAACTCTACAATTAAAGTACAGATTCAAAAGTTACTAGAATTTCTTTTTACACCACAACTAAAGTATAAAATCCTTGCATTAAATCATCTTTACTAGCCCCACTGACATTTTCTCTATGTTTACGCATATGAGCCGATAGTCCCGCTGCCTGAGCATAGGCCTGACCACATATTTTGCAAACAAACTTCTTGACATCCGAATGCAAATGTTTGTGATGATAGAGAGCATTATGTCGATTAAAACTTTTCCCGCAAACATCACAAACATGTTTACGTACTGTCTCATGACAACTCATATGTCCGGTCAGTAATTTTTTCGAACTAAAACTTCGTCCACATACTTCACAGCCAAACGGCTTCTCTCCAGTATGCTGACGTTTATGTTCCCTCAAGGATTCATGTCTTTTACACTTGTAACCACATTCTTCACATATAAATATTTCATGATCGCGATGATGTGCCCGTAAACTTGTTGGGGTGGCAAAAGCTTTGCCACAATTTTCTTTCTGGCAAACGAACTCTCTAGTTTCCATGTGTACTGCCAAATGACGTTTCAATGTGGGATTTGTTTTAAAAACACGATGACATTGTTGACATTCAAAACCGATATGTTTACGTTGTATGTGACTCTTTAGGTAACGTTCTTCGGCAAAAGACTCCTCGCACATGGAACATTTTAAAGGTCTTTCACGTAAATGTATTAGCTTTACATGTATTTGCAAACCCCGGTAGTCGGTATATTTTTTATTACATATTTCACAGGCAAAATCTTTGGGTTTGTGGGGCTAATGGTAAAATAACTCAATAAAGTAAAAATTTTATAAATATGTAAATATGTATATCAAGACAACTACCTTTATTATACTTATTTCTGTCTGCCGCTCTAAGTGTTCGTCATATTCATCCTCAGTACTCACATCGTTTTCATCTTCCGAACATTCATTATTAGTCACAAGTTCATTTTGTTCAGTAGTTTCAAGTTCGGTTTGTAATTCCTCTTTAATTTCCTTCTTAATATGTAATTGAGAAGTTGTTTCCAAATGCATTTTTTTGAAATGCTCTATGAATTCTGGAAACTCAAATATTTTGATTTTGCATAAATTGCAATTGATTATAAAATTCTTTAGGTTTTCGCATATTATTTCTCCACAGGTTTGGCTAACTGGTTTGTGGTAATTTTCAGTTAAAAAACAATTTTTTAGCATATTTTATGTTAAATTACGTATCTAGCTAAATAAATAAAATGCTGTTATGTTTATATTTCTACGTCACAATTTGTTTACATTTTGTAAAAGTGCTGACAAGTTTAAATAAAAAATTCAGTTGTTTTTCACAAAAACTTGTCAGCACTTTAAAAAAGGTAAACAATTGTATCTCTCGTATAAAACGCCAAATAAAAAAATTGTAAAAATGTTAAAAAAAACTGTTTTTTTAAATACACAATATAATAATTTAATGCATAAAAGCTGTGGAGAAATAATATGCTAAAGTGAAACGGTCTTTAGCATAATGTGTAGCTTTTGTAAAATAACGATTTTCGAGTTTAATGAATTCGTGCAACATTGTATCACTAGCTACTGGCTAGAAATACAAGACCAGGATATGATTATTACAAATTATGAACTACTACCAAGACAACAGGAAATTAACGATTTTAATGAAATAAAACTCGAAGAAAATTAGGAAAAGTTTATGGCTAATGATCTTGATATGAGGAGGATCCCGAGCAAGAAAGTAAAGATGATGAGGCCGGAATTAGAAAAGAAACAAAGTAATAGTAACAGCAATATTTCGAATTGTGAAAAAGACTCAAGTGATAAGGAGGAATCAATAAAACTATTGAAAAGGGTGAGTGAAGCAATTTCCAATTTCAATATAAAAATTATTTGAAAAACAGGAATATTTGCCAAAAGTAAAATCTAGACAGAAAACAACTAAACGTTGCTTTAAATGTTTAATATGTGCCGTACCTTTAGCAAAATGTGCAACTATGAAACACATGTAAATGATCATGAAATGTTGCCTTACAAATGCAATAAATCCAGCATCAACATATACATGACGGTTATTCTTGTGATATTTGTTGGAAAGTTTTTAGGACAAACGATACTTTAAAAGCACACAAAGAGATTCACATAGAACGAAAAATTTCTTCTGCTCTTAGGCTGCTTTGTTTGTGATATATGTGGCTCCAGATATCAGAGAAAAGCTGCCTTAAACGAACATCTGCGTTCCCATAGGGGGAAAAACCATTTGCTTGTAGTGTATGTGACAGAAAGTATCGATCGAGCCAAGGCTTTGTATCATCACAAGCATCCGCATTGGGATGTTAAGAAATTTGTGTGTAAACTTTGCGGTGCTGCTTATGCCCAGGGTGCTGGACTATCCGCTCATATGCGTAAACATAAAGAGGAACAATTTGGCGACGATATAATGAAATCTAGGTAATTTATTAAATATATTTACGATTACAAAATAAATTATTTATGTGGCATTACAAATTTGAATTTAACGGTCAATTTTAGTCAACCTTTACATCGTCACCTGAAACGCAAACGGCCTTATCTAACATTTTTAAAATTTTACAGGAGAAGCAAAAAAATATTTAAATTGAAAAGTTTGTTTCTATCAACGCGATTTATTTGTAGTAAATAAACAAATTGTTTAATAGTCAAACCTTCGGAAAAAAACAGCTGCTATGTACTTATCATCACCTTGTTTGAATCCTTTTTGATATTGCTTGTGAAACTTGACAGCACTGTTGAAGCAAACCATTTGAACAGCTGTTCAAAAGTTGAGTACCACACCGTTTTACACAGAAAAAAAATTCTATACAATTTGCTTTATTTTTATGAAATTTATTTTGCATTTTAATTCAAAAAGGATAAAGTACATTTAAAATATTTGTATTATTAGGTGGTAGCGCAGGTTCGGTGGTAAAAGAGGCGGCGCCACCCTCTTCTCTATGTTTGCGCATGTGGGCCGATAGACCAGCAGCCTGAGCATAGGCCTGCCCACAGATTTTACAAACAAACTTCTTAACGCCCAAATGTAAATGTTTATGATGATATAAAGCCTTAGGTCGATTAAAACTCTTACCACAAACATCACAAATATGTTTACGTTCCGTTTCGTGCGTGGCCATGTGTTCATTGAGTAAAGGTTTCGAACCAAAACGACGATCACAAAGCTTACAGCCAAATGGCTTCTCTCCCGTATGATGGCGTTTATGAACAATTAATGATTCGCGTTGCCGGCACTTATAACCACATTCCTCGCAAATAAACATTTCACTAGTATGATAGCGTTGATGATCTTTTAGCTGACCCTTGGTGGCAAACGCCTTTCCACAATTATCCTCTTGGCAAATGAATTCTTTTTTATCAACATGTATTAGCATGTGTCGTTTCAAATTGCGATTTGTCGAAAAATTCTTGTGGCATTCGGGACACTCATAACCGGTATGCTTATGACCCACATGATTCTTAAGCGTACGTTCCTCGGCAAAAGCCTGATCACACATAGAGCATTTGTAAGGTTTTTCGCGTAAATGAACAATTTTCACATGCAGCTGTAAGCGTCTAGAGTCGGCATACTTTTTATTGCAAATTTCACAGGAAAATTCTTTAGGTTTACGCGGCTGGAGCAGAGAAATTTAAAATATTTAATAAAATAAAAGTATTTACATGAAACTATAATTAACCTTTCTCATTATACTTTTACTTTGTTCCTCATCTTCCTCCGGGTCTCCGTCATCTTCCGTATTATAATCCTCATCCTTGTCATCATCCGTATAGTTACTATTGTCCGCCTCCCATAAGAATTCTTCATTTTCGATGTTTGCTGTAAACTTTTCATCATTTTTCAATGGCTCATGAGCCTCGGATATTTCTAATTTAATCACCCGCTCATAATTTTCCTCCTGGTCTTCGTGCAGTTTATTTTCTATTTTCTGTTCTGTTGTGCTTTCATTTATTAACGTCTTGTCCAAGTGGACATTCTTAAAATGTTGCACAAATTCTTCAAACTCAAATATTTTGATTTTACACAATTTACAATTAATTATAAATTCTTGTAGATTTTCACAAATTATCTCTCCACAGGTTTGCGTTTGTGGTTTATTATAATTTACTGGTAAAAAACAATTTTTTAACATTTTTTTCGAATAATTTTCCAATTAAATGCCTAAAATTTCTTTAGAAAACAACTATTGTTTATGTTTTCTAATGGGAGAGTTATAAAAAAAGAGCAACATGCCAAAAATGTAATAAGTGCTGCCAAGTTTTTTTAGTTTAACAGCTATATAAAGGAATGTGATAATAAATTATAGCAAAAAAGCTATCCATCATTACCATGGATAACATTTGTTTGTTTGTTGCAAGTTGTGTACTTTAATCTAAAGTAAGTGGTACTAATTGGGCAAAACTCTACGTAAATTGCTTTCAGATGCTATACAAAACAAACATTTAAATTTATTCTTTGGAAATATTATTAAAAAATATAAATTTAAACAGTTTAAAACTCATTTATTAAAAAAAACATTAAGATATTTTAAATTATACATTTTTTCTATACGAAATAGTTTGAAACCGATTTTTTTAATTTTAAAATTATTTTTTAACTAAATTATATTTTTTATTTAAGGTAATCTTATTTAATCTATCACTTGGCTTCACGAAATTGTCATTTGTTTTAGTTTCAACACGACCAGCGTTTTTTGTATTTTTCTGTAAAGATTTTTTTAAATGTTTATAACGTACAAAACCTAACGAAGACTCCTTTTCTGTTTCGGAGTTTTCAGCCATATCTCCGGAAGCCTTTAAATCCTTAAATTCCTCTTCCGCCTCCTTGCTATATAGTACTATCTTGTTTTGTACATTTTCTATATAAAATTTTCGTGATCTTTCCATCAACTCTAGCCAATCTTTAGCTATATCCTTATCGAAGGTTTTCTTATACCATAAAGGTAGATTTTCCGCAAAGAAACCATTTGGATGAGCTTGTACTTTAGTATATAAAATATTAACCAAATGCTGTTCGAGAAAGTTTAATTCTTTGTTGTTTTTAACTTTAGATATTTTGTTCTCATTATCCTTTAATTTTAGATCATTAAATTGTAAATCGAGTTCCTGGTGTAGGGTTAAAGGCTGTGCCTCTTCGGAATCTAAACTACACATATCATCATCTAAAAGACGACCTTGTATCTTACGTATTTCATATTTTTTCAACAAACTGCTGGTAGCCTTTTCTAGTTGTTGTTTTTTATCGAGAAATTCTTGGCGCAAAGGCACCTTTACATGTTTTTCGCCTGCAGCTTCAAAACTTTCCACTGACTGCTGTTGAGACGTAGGACATAAAATAAAAGTGTACCAAACAATTCTATCAACCTACCTTCTTAGCTACATCATCGGTTTTTTTCTGTCTTGCTTGTATTTTTAGCAAAGTAGCCGGTTTGGGTTTTCTTAATTTGGGATACTCTTCTAAATTAGTTTCTTCGTTTGCCTTGGCTTTTACTCCAGGCGGATTTTTGTTAACATTACACTGTAATTTTATATTTTTTAATCTTTCATTAACAGATTTACGTTTTTCCATATTTAAAATGCGTTAATATTTATTTAATATCAATTATTACAGCTTAAAATTTAATTTTTTTTCCAAATTCAGACAATATTAACCAGAGCTGTCAAAAGTAACGGTACACCATATGCAATGTTAGCAATCTTGCGTTTTTTATGTTATTTTGAGAGCGGCAAAAACGAGTAGCAATATTTAGCGATTTTGTGTTTCAAATTTAATTTACTCAGAAAAGGAGTCGGTTTTAAAGGGAGATAAAAGTGTTTACTGATTTTATTATAAACATTTGGTCCCAAATTGTATAATCTGTAATCCTTTTTGCCCTATGGTCTCTAGTTTAACCAGAAAATAGACAAACATTTATTTTTGACTTTATGTTTTGATTGAAACACAGATTTTCATCCTTTTTGCCCTAAAGTTTCTGGTTTAGCCAGAAAATGCACTTATAAATGGAATTTTGAATAGGAAATGACAGTGTAGAGCGTTTTCACTAAAAAATGATTTTAGATCAAAAGTAAAAGTGGTCACAAATTTTTATCCTTTTTGTAATCTTTTATTTTATTTAACAATTTTTATAACATCCGTACAACGTTCCTGCTGCTTTCTATGCCATCTCATGTGCTGTGACAAACCAGCCGATTGCCTATAAGATTTTGCACACAAATTACAAACATATTTATTTTCCTCCGCATGTAACGCCTGATGATGATACAAAGCCTTTGAATCGTTAAAACTTTCGGCACAAATAATACAACAATATTTACGCTCTGATGTGTGAATTTCACGATGTACCGCCAATTGATACGAAGAGGCAAAACTATTACCGCAATTCACACAACAATAGGGCCGTTCACCAGTATGCTGACGTCGGTGAACCGTTAGATTACATCTAATGCGCGTGTGATACCCACAATATTCACATATATAATTTTCAGTATTCAAATGATAACGTCTTTTATGATCACTCAAACGTTTGGGATTCTTAAACGAGCGTCGACAATCTTCATAACTGCAGATGAAGTCTCCAGTACCGGTTTGATGGCTATAACGGTGATATTTTAAAGTGACTTTAGTTTTGAAAACTTTCAGACATTCGGGACATTTTACCTATGGATAATTTGAAACAAAAAACCTTTTAAAAATTATATTTCTTAATTAAAAAAAATATTACAAAATTTACCGTATTGGTCATGTTTTTTTTATTTATTTTTATTTAGGTTTTCTCACATAGTTGTTTTTAAAGTAAATACTAATACTAAACTAAATTGATTTCTATTTATCAATTGTATTCAAAGACCACAAAAACTTAATCATTGTTTTTACACGAGACATTTAATTAATGTTAAGAATTTTAGTTCTAAATATAATTTTAGTATAGTTAGTTGTTTCTATTTGTATTATTTGCAATTTTTTTCTATTTTGTTCATCAAAGTGCAGTGATATTTATCAGTTGGTTGGTTTTTCTTAATTTCAAGAAGAAATAGTATTTTGTGATCTTTAATAATAATACAATACATACATATGTATGTGATCATTTATTTATTATTTTAAGGTTGAAATATATGCACGCATGACATTCACCTTTAAATGTGCATATTTTTTGTTAAAATTATATTGTTCGTTTTTTAAGAAAAATCAAAAATGATCATTAATTTGAAATCTTTATATAGTAGCAATTAAACATCTATCATTACTCCTTAATTGTTTGAGTCCTTTATAAGCTCTCAAAATTAGTCAGTTAGTTAGTTAGTTAGTTAGTTCGATAGTTAGTTAGTTAGTTCGTTAGTTAGTTCGTTAGTTAGTTAATTCGTTAGTTAGTTAGTTAGTTAGTTAGTTAGTTAGTTAGTTAGTTAGTTAGTTAGATTGAAAGGAGATGTATATACATCAAATCCGAAGAAGTACACCTAGGCCTCTATCGGGCCTGTTGTGCGCTCCTTAACCAGTGCCTCAGGTGGGAATCGAACCCACCACCTCCGGTCTACCAGACTAGAACACTAACCACTAACCTACCGGAGGCCACTAGTTAGTTAGTTAGTTACTTTGTTAGTTAGTTAGTTAGTTAGTTAGTTAGTTAGTTAGTTAGTTAGTTAGTTAGTTAGGTAGTTAGTTAGTTAGTTAGTTAGTTAGTTAGTTAGGTAGGTAGTTAGTTAGTTAGTTAGTTAGTTAGTTAGTTAGTTAGTTAGTTAGTTAGTTAGGTAGCTAGTTAGTTAGTTAGTTAGTTAGTTATTTAGTTAGTTAGTTAGTTAGTTAGTTAGTTAGTTAGTTAGTTAGTTAGTTAGTTAGTTTGAAAGGAGGATGTATATACATCAAATCCGAAGAAGTACACCTAGGCCTCTATCGGGCCTGTTGTGCGCTCCTTAATCAGTGCCTCAAGTGGGAATCGAACCCACCACCTCCGGTCTACCAGACTAGAACACTAACCACTAACCTACCGGAGGCCACTAGTTAGTTAGTTAGTTAGTTAGTTAGTTAGTTAGTTAGTTAGTTAGTTAGTTAGTTAGTTAGTTAGTTAGTTAGTTAGTTAGTTAGTTAGTTAGTTAGTTAGTTAGTTAGTTAGTTAGTTAGTAGTTAGTTAGTTAGTTAGTTAGTTAGTTAGTTAGTTAGTTAGTTAGTTAGTTAGTTAGTTAGTTAGTTAGTTAGTTAGTTAGTTAGTTAGTTAGTTAGTTAGTTAGTTAGTTAGTCAGTTAGTTAGTTAGTTAGTTAGTTAGTCAGTTAGTTAGTTAGTTAGTTAGTTAGTTAGTTAGTTAGTTAGTTAGTAGTTAGTTAGTTAGTTAGTTAGTTAGTTAGTTAGTTAGTTAGTTAGTGTTAGTTAGTTAGTTAGTTAGTTAGTTAGTTAGTTAGTTAGTTAGTTAGTTAGTTAGTTAGTTAGTTAGTTAGTTAGTTAGTTAGTTAGTTAGTTAGTTAGTTAGTTAGTTAGTAGTTAGTTAGTTAGTTAGTTAGTTAGTTAGTTAGTTAGTTAGTTAGTTAGTTAGTTAGTTAGTTAGTTAGTTAGTAGTTAGTTAGTTAGTTAGTTAGTTAGTTAGTTAGTTAGTTAGTTAGTTAGTAGTTAGTTAGTTAGTTAGTTAGTTAGTTAGTTAGTTAGTTAGTTAGTTAGTTAGTTAGTTAGTTAGTTAGTTAGTTAGTAGTTAGTTAGTTAGTTAGTTAGTTAGTTAGTTAGTTAGTTAGTTAGTTAGTTAGTTAGTTAGTTAGTTAGTAGTTAGTTAGTTAGTTAGTTAGTTAGTTAGTTAGTTAGTTAGTTAGTTAGTTAGTTAGTTAGTAGTTAGTTAGTTAGTTAGTTAGTAGTTAGTTAGTTAGTTAGTTAGTAGTAGTTTAGTTGAGTTAGTTAGTTAGTTAGTTAGTTATTTAGTTAGTTTAGTTTAGTTAGTTAGTTAGTTTAGTTAGTTAGTTAGTTTAGTTTAGTTTAGTTAGCTTAGTTAGTTAGTTAGTTTAGTGTAGTTATTAGTTTAGTTAGTTAGTTAGTTAGTTAGTTAGTTAGTTTAGTTAGTTAGTTTAGTTAGTTAGTTAGTTAGCTTAGTTAGTTAGTTAGTTAGTTAGTTAGTTAGGTATTAGTTAGTTAGTTATGTTAGTTATTAGTTGTAGTTTAGTATAGTTAGTTAGTTAGAGCCTTAGTTAGTAGTTTAGTTAGTTAGTTAGTTAGTAGTAGTTAGTTAGTTAGTTAGTAGTTAGTTAGTTGAGTTAGTTAGGTTAGTTATTTTAGTTAGTTAGTTAGTAGTTAGTTAGTTAGTTAGGTTAGTTAGTTAGTTAGTTGAGTTAGTTAGTTTAGTTAGTTAGTTCGGTTGGTAGTCTAGTTAGTTAGTTAGGTTAGTTAGTTAGTTAGTTAGTTAGTTAGTTAGTTAGTTAGTTAGTTAGTTAGTTAGTTAGTTAGTTAGTAGTTAGTTAGTTAGTTAGTTAGTTAGTTAGTTAGTTAGTAGTTAGTTAGTTAGTAGTTAGTTAGTTAGTAGTTAGTTAGTTAGTTAGTTAGTTAGTTAGTTAGTTAGTTAGTTAGTTAGTTAGTTAGTAGTTAGTTAGTTAGTTAGTAGTTAGTTAGTTAGTTAGTTAGTAGTAGTTAGTTAATACTAAAGATTAAATTTCTTCAAATACCGTAGACCTGTTCCAAATTGTACTTCAACTGCTTTTCCCGACACAAAAAATAAGTAAGGCCTATACAGTGCCTTGATTCGAAAGTTACCGAACACAGGTAAGATAAATTCAATACAAGTTCCTATAAGGTGAAGCCATTTAAACAGCTGTTTGTTTTTTATATATAAAACTGACAAACTCGTTATATAAACATTTCTCTTATCACCGAGACTGTCAAAAAGTATAAATAAAAATATCACATCAATTTCACCTTATATTGATTCCCTTCGTTAAACTATTGTGAATGGATATGTGTAAAAAAAACATATTTCTGACATGTAGAAACACACACGTAAAGGGTTAATTAGCAAAGAAAAATTATAAAAAATAATAGAATATTAAAAAAATAAACAAATATTTTAAAAGTGAAACATAAAATATACAAATAGAATGCTAAAAATTCTACCCCTAGCTAACTTAAGCCAACAAGCGAAAGCAAAATGTGGCGAAATCTTTTGTCACAGTTCCACAGACTACACAATCTATTGCACCTTTTGCGATATGAAAGCCTTTACCTTTGAGGATTTCCTGTTGCATGTACAGAATGTGCATTTTGAAAATAATATTTTAAAAACGGAAACCTTTAGCAACAATGATTGTCATCAGTATTTAGAGGTAAATGTTAAGTCGGAAAATAACGCGGACAGTTCGGCAGTGGCAGACGGTGGAGAGCAGCGACAATTACATGAAGAACAAGAGGTATTATGGGATAATTTAGAACAAACCTATGAAGAGGAAATTGCTGGTGGTTATGATGATGACTATGAGGAGGATGATGAGGGCGGAGAGGATAGTTTTGAAGAGGAAGCGGTGGCGGTATTGAAGAAACCTAAAAAACAAATTAGACAAAAAAGGGAAAAACTTTTAAAACCCAAGAGAAATGAGGAGAGTGGAGAAGAAGAGGATAATGATCATAGTTCTGATGAGGATTTCAAGCCAGAGGTTGTTGGTAAATAGTTTGAAATTATTGCCATTTAATTACAAATGTTTACTTTTTAGATAAATAATAAAGACAGCTCTGGAGCAGCGGAACAGGAAAAACCTTTTCAATGTAGCGAGTGCAACAAAGCCTTCAAAAACCTGGGACTTTTAAAAATACATCACACACGCCAACACGAAGAGAAATCAGCCGAATATTTAGAGAAAAAAGAAAAAGAAGACAAGGAACAACTATGTCCGGAATGTGAGCAAATATTTCCCAATAAAAAGTATTTGGATAAACATGTTTACGATGAACACGGCGGCTATAAATGTGCCCATTGTGATAAACGTTTCAAGCAACGTCACCAACGTAAACGCCACGAACAGTCTCATACCGCGGAAAGGGTATTTATTTGCCATTTTGAAGGTTGTGGCAAAAGCTTTACCGAAAAATACTATCTGAAACGTCACGTAGACATACACACCACGGAACGCAATTTCATTTGTGATTTTGAGAATTGTGGCAAGGCATTTCATACGCAAAGACGCCTATCCGCCCATAAGAAAATCCATACTAAACCGAAAAATTTGGTTTGTGATGCTTGCGGCTATACGTGTCGTGAAAATGAAACGCTACGGGTGCATCAGCGTGTACACACGGGCGAAAGACCATATGCCTGTGAAGTGTGCGACAAACGCTTTATATCCAGTTCTGCTTTGGGTGAACACATGGCCTCTCACTCCAATACCCGCCCGCATGTGTGTAAAGTTTGTAATGCTTCATTTGCTCGCCAGAAAGCTCTTTATCATCATAGTTTCCTGCACTCAGATGTTAAAAAGTTTCGTTGTAAAATCTGTGGCAGTGCCTATAAACAGGCCTCCGGTTTGGCCGGTCATATGCGTAAACATCGTGAGGAGGGCATGATGTCCATGTTACCCGAAAGACCCTCCATGTCAACGGCTCCCATACCAGCAACTCCGCCAGTGGTGGCAGTACCTCCTGCCTATCCATTTATGTCGTTTTAGTTTAGTTACTCTGTAAATATTTTATTAGTTTTATGAATAGTTTTTTAGTTATAGCAGCTGTATATACGTTTATTTACCTTAAAACTTGTATATTGTGTTTTATGTATAATTTTTTACATAACATGTAGCAATAATAAAAAACAACAATCAATAGAAATGGAGTTTTTTAGCTTTTAACTAGGGATATTTTAAAAATATTTCGAAATTTTGTATAATGTAAAAAATTATCAAAATCGTACCTAAAAAAAATGTCCCTTTGGGGAAAATTTGAAATATTTTTACAAAATTTTGACTAAAATACAATTTTGATAATATCGCTTTAAGGGAAATTTCTCCAACAAGAGGAAAGTTTTCAAAATTTCATATTTTGAATAGGAAAAGATTAAAAAACAATTAAAGTCTTGAAAATCGTAACTAGAAATTAAAATTTTCATTCAAGGGAAATTTTTTCAAAATATTTAAAAAAATATTTAAAAATAAAATTTCCTTAAGGGGAATTTTTTTTAACAAGGAGATATTTAAAAAATACATTTTTTTTAACTAATTGATTTAAAAAATTATTAAATTTTATTAATTTTAACTAAAAATAAAATTTTCCTTTAAGGAAATTTTTTTCTTACCAAGGAAATTTTAATTTTTTTTTATAATCATTTTACATATTGAATAATAAAAATAATTGATATATAATTTTGATAATCCTGCTTTAAAAATAAAATTTCCCTTAAAGGAAATTTTTCCTCATCAGGGTAATTTAAATTTTTTTACTAACATTTAGGGTTCTATAAATCGACTTTCGAATAATCGAAAAAAGTCGAAAAGTCGAAGTCGACTATTTTGTTCCAAAAAAGTCGATAACTCGATTATCGTCTGTGAAAAAAGTCGAAAAGTCGACTTTGTGAATAAAAGTCGAAAAGTCGATAAGTCGAAAAAAGTCGAGAAGTCGTAAAAAGTCGAAAAGTCGGAAAAAGTCGAAAAAAGTCGAAAAAAGTCGAAAAAAGTCGAAAAGTCGGAAAAAGTCGAAAAATCGAAAATTGTAGAAACAAGTCAAAAATAGTCAAAAATTTTAAAAAAGTGGAAAAAAAGTCAAAAACTCTAAAATAGTCGGAAAAACTCGAAAAAAAGTCAAAAAATAGTCGGAAAAAAGTAGAAAGAAGTCGAAAATAGTCAAAAAGTCGAAAAAATCGAAAAATCGAAAATTGTAGAAACAAGTCAAAAATAGTCAAAAATTTTAAAAAAGTGGAAAAAAAAAGTCAAAAACTCTAAAATAGTCGGAAAAACTCGAAAAAAAGTCAAAAAATAGTCGAAAAAAAGTAGAAAGAAGTCGAAAATAGTCGAAAAGTCGGAAAAAGTCGAAAAGTGGAAAAAAGTCGGAAAAAGTCGAAAAGTCGACTATTTTTAAAATACTTATAGTCGAAAAGTCTAAAAGTCGACTTTTATTTAAATGAAAAAAGTCGAAAAATCGACTTTTCATAAATGCAAAAAGTCGAAAAGTCGACTTTTAACTAAATGAAAAAAGTCGAAAAGTCGACTTTTCGTTTCAACTATAGAACCCTACTAACATTTGAAAATTATTGAAAAAATTTATAATTTTTTTTATAAATGTACTTAAAACAAAAATTTCCCATCAAGGGACATTTTTTAAACAGTTGAAATTTTAACAAAATTTAGTTTACAATTGAAACGTTTTATAAATATTTTATTAAAATTGTACTTTTAAATAGTTTTTTTTTTACTGTACAAATTAAACTAAAATGACAAAAACGCGTAGCTAGCTGGAACAGCCACAGCTGTAGGCGCCGTTGACATAGTTTGTTGTTCGGGCAACATAGACATCATGCCCTCCTCGCGATGTTTATGGATATGACCGGCCAATCCGTTGGCCTGTTTATAGGCTGTGTCACAGATTTTACAGCGACATTTTTTAACATCCGAATGCAAATAACTGATGATGGAGAGCTTTTGGCAGGGCAAATGAAGCATCACAAACTTTACAGACATGCGGACGATTGCTTGAATGGAAGGGCATGTGTTCAGCCAAGGCAGACTTGGACATGAAACGTTTAGAGCACACCTCACAGGTAAAAGGTCTTTCGCCAGTGTGTATACGTTGATGTAGCCGTAAAGTTTCCTTTGCATGACAACTATAGCCGCAGGTATCACAAATCAAAACTTTGGATTCGTTTATGTATAGATTGCCAAACTCTTTTCCACAACTTTCCAGGGGCGTTTTAGATAGACATTTTCTACATAACTCTTGCCACAGTTCTCATTAGGGCAAATAAGAAGCCGTTCCGTGGTGTGCGTTTGTTCGTGGCATTTGCATTGGTGAGAATGTTTGAAACGTCTTTCACAATACGCACATTTGTTGCCACCATGTTTAGCAAATACATATTTATCCAAATGTTTTTTATTGGAAAACAATAGTTCACATTCTGGACACATTTGTTCCCGATCTTGCTTGCCGTTTTCTTCTAAACACTGGGACACATTCTGAACACATTTGTTCCTGATCTTGCTTGTCGTTTTCTTCTAAACACTGGGCCGATTTCTTCTCATGTTTACGTTTAAAATGTATTTTCAAAAGTGCCTGATTTTTAAAGTCTTTTCCACAGTCGTTGCATTTAAAGTTGGTTTCCTCTGTCGCTTCTTTTGTACTGGTTCTTTTATTTAACTGTTTTCAAAGGAAATTTTGAAGCTATTTAAATTAACTGAATACTCACTGAACTCATTTAGCTCTCCAAACGGCTAAGAAGTTATAAATTCCTAAAGTATTCAAATAAATAAATCTGCGCCGTTTAGAGTTATAAATGAAAGTCTTGGCTATTTACCTATTGTTTGAAATCTTCATCATATGTATGATCATTATCCTCTCCTTCATCGCTCTCTTTGTAACTCTTGCGTTTCAATAGTTTTTTTGTTATTTCCAATAGATTTTTTTCTTTCTTTAATACCGTCTCTATTTCCTCTTCATACTCATCTTTCCCAAAGTCATCATCATCCCCAAAGTTTTGCGAGTCATCCTGTATTTGTTCGAAATTATGCCACAACTGTTCTCCTGCAATAAAATTGCCTGCTTTGTTTTCCGCCTTAACGTCTACATTCAAATACTGTCGTTTTTAAAATATTATTTTCAAAATGCACATTTTGTACGTGCAACAGGAAATCCTCATAGGTAAAGGCTTTTATATCGCAGAAGCTGCAATAGATGGTGAAGTCTGTGGAACTGTGACAAAAGATTTCGCCACATTTGGCTTTTGCCTGTTGGCTTAAATTAGCTAAGGGTAGAATTTTTAACATTCTATTGGTCCACTAGTTAAAAAGCTTTCAAAATATTGGGTATTTTTTTAAATTATATTTTTTGTTTTGTTAATTAACCCTTTATGTATGTGTGTGTACTAAACGAAGGCAAAAAAATATTTTTGTTTAGATTTTAATAATATATTATTCACAATAACTTAACACAAATGACAGACAGCACTGCCAGCATAAAGGTAACAGTTTAAAATGAAAAAGTACATTATAATTTCAATAACTTTCAATAATTCACAATAACACACAGGATTGTCAAAATTATTATTGTGATTTTTAAGGGCGAAATCGGTTAGAATTTAAAATGATAAATTTACAACATTATTCAAATAAAATGAATTACAAATCACAGATAAAGTAATTAAATACTTTGGGATACAAGTAAATATGTATGTATATCTTAATTCTAACTTTGAGGGCATTCTTTCTATATTTAAACAATATTTTTAGGTGGAAATAATTTGTTTATATTAATAAGCTAAAACTTTACATTAATAATTTATGTACATGATATAAACTGTCGGAGCCATATAATGGCCAGCAAGTACTGGCACCTGGGGGCAGGCAAGTCAATATTTTAGTTACCAATCCACAAAATTATAGCAGCTCCTAATAATAAACATTGTAGAGAATGGTTTGTTCATTAAGTTTTGTGACTGCAACCATTAAATCTTCATCTAATGTCACGTTTTAAATGCTTTTATCAATGTCGAATTAGATGACATCTATGTACAGCGCAAAAATGGCATTTATGTAAATGTATTATTGATAATCACGCTGGAAAAGTCTAATTTAATTGATAACTCAGGTAATATAAGGGATATTGACATTTTCAGAAGAGTGTGCAGGGTAATAGTTATTTTACAAAGCCTCTGCGAGAAACGCATTTTTCTTTTTATTCCTTCTTACATTTCGCCTTGTCGGTTGGAAACATTCGCTTGCCACCATCTTAAACGCTTCTTTCAAGCCATGCTAGAATCCTTAAAAGATGATTTTCGTACACCTAAAATTCTTATTATAGAATGTTTTTTACACTACCTTTTTTTAAACTTTTCACGTTGCAGACACCGCACTAGCTGTACATTTCAGTCTATGTTGATGTAACGATTTCTGGCGTGTAAATGTTGCATTACACTGACTACAAATATGTGAACGTATACCGGTATGCGAGGCTGTATGTTCCAAAAGAGCTGCATTACTGGTAAATCTTTTACCACACTCTTGACAACCATAAGGTTTCTCCCCCGTATGCACCCGTTGATGTATACGCAAACGATCGTATTCGCGACAGGTATAGCCACAAGTATCACATATCAGATTTTTTGGTTTAGTATGACGATTTTTGTGCGCTTTCAAACAACGTAAAGTGTGAAAAGCTTTACTGCAATTCTCAAAATCACATACAAATTTACGCTCCTTATTATGACTGTCCAGGTGGCGCTGTAAATAATATTTGTGGGTAAAGCTTTTGTCGCAACCCTCGATCTGACAGGAGAAGACACGAGCTGCGGTATGACAAAATTCATGACGATCACGTTGTTGCAACTGTTTAAAACGTTTGTCGCACATGGAACACTTAAATCCCATGTGATAGTCTACAATGTGTCCGTAGAGAGATTTTTTACTGGGAAATATTTGATCACATTCATTGCAAGGTATCTGCTTGCCTTCTTTTTTAAGAGAGTTTTCCGAGGATTTATCATCGTGCATACGATTGAGGTGGCTGCGTAGAAGGCCGGCAGTTTTAAAGGATTGACCACATTGAGAGCAGCTATGAACAGCAGAATTTTCAAATAACTGCAAGCATTTCAATATTTTGGAGCATTCATTTGTGTAATTTGTAATAACAATACTCACCCTAGGCTTAAATTCCTCATCAGTATCAAAATCTCTAAAATCCTCTTCTTCACTCTGGTCACTTTTGCTTTCCGTTTTAGTTTTACACCTTTTGCTTCTTTGCTTAACTAGTTTTTTCTTTAATACTACCAAAGGCTCATCATAACTATCATTATCACAGTAATCAGCATCATCATCAAAATTTCTATCATCTAGAGCAGTATTTTCGAAATCTGCCTGGTCTTCCTCATCAGCATTATCATACGATTTTATTAAAGTATCATATATTTTGTCCTCTTCAGTTTCCAACTTGGTGGGGCAATATGTTGTGCCTTCATTTTTACACACTTCACTAACAAAATGTAAAGTTTTAAGATGTTTTAGAAAATCCTCAAAGGAAAAAGATTTCATTTCGCAAAATGTACAGTAGACGGTAAAATCGTTGGAGTTGTGGCAGAATATTTCTCCACATTTAGTTTTGGGTTGAGTGTTAAAATTAAATGTGGGCATTAATTTTAACATGTTTGTCTTTTATTAAAACTTATTTCACTTGCTTCTTTCTTCACTAGTAGCAAAAATGTTTTAATTTGTGATTTTTTTTTTATTTGTTTACGAAAATTTAACCCTTGTGTATCTGTCAAGAAAGGGAAAAATAAACAAGAAATTCTGTATAAATCATTCACAATAATTTGTTGACAAACAAATAAACAGCTGTAACAGAGTTCTGAGATGATAAAATTTTATAATGACGTTGGCTTAAACAAAAATAAAATTGTTAGAATAATTTCAGCTTAAGTTAATAAAAATGTACTTAAGTTTTACAAACAAAAAGGAAAAAGTAAAACAAGTTAAATTAAATATGTTTTAAGCATTTTATGCAAAAAATCAAAGCTTTTCTGTCACCTGTCTTTAAGAGAGATTTTTTTAACTGCGTTAGTTTAGTGCCGGCGAGACATTATCTTATTGTTATTGTTCTGCTTTGACTTTATCCAATTGTAAGCAACAAAATTTACAACAGTTATAATATTTTTCTTTAAAATAATGCTAAAACTACAAACAATTATCAATAATGATTTATCGTTGTATTCCTCTTATACAAAATGTGCCGAAATACATTATTTCACCTCTAATTTTAATATAGTTTGTGTAGTATGTCAACAGCTCTACAAACAGTACCCGGACTTTGCCAAACATTTCCAGGATACTCATTTGTTAGAGTTTATGGAAAATATACATGAATTAAATAGCAAAAATGATCAACAACTTACAAAATGTGTTAAACAGGAATTAACAGAAACTATAAAAGACAAGAACGCTTTAAATCACAGAACTGAGGAAGTACATAAGGGTATTTATGGTGATGTTACAGCTTATGATGAATTACTATATTTTAAAGTGGAAGATGATCAGGAAAGTTTTAAGGCAAATGTAAGTTATAGATAAATCATAATTAGTTTCTAAAAGAAATCGTAGGTCTTTTTATAGTCAAAAAGTTAAAAACAACTCTCTGCTAGTCAATAAACTGGTCTATAATCTAGAATATAGTCTAGCCTATAATCTAGACCAGAGTTTAGTCTATAATCTGGACTATAGCCTATTCTATATTCTAGAATATAGTATAGTCTATATCTAGACTATAGTTTATTCTATAATCTAGACTGTAGTCTAGTGTATGATCTAGAGTATAGTCTAGTGTACTATCTGGACAATAGTATAGTGTACTGTCTAGACTATAGTCTAGTGTATGGTCTAGATCGTCGGTCTTTCTTTAGACTTAGTATCTTTAATAGTAAGTTTAGTCTAAGTTTAGTTTTAATCATAGTTTAACTTTAATTCGAGGGATTTCTTTAGTCCCAATTTACCTTCAGTTGTAAGTCTTGTTTAAGTGCCAGTTAAAGTTTGGTCCTAGGAATAGTGCAGCTTCACTCGTAGTTCTTTTTATAGTCTTAATTTAGGTTCTATCTTAGATCTTTTTAAATTACCCTTTTAGCTATTACAGGTGGTTTTTCATTTTCCAGTTTAGGCAGAATTCTAGGTTTTTTATGTTTTAAAGTATATTGTTTATAATTTATTTACCCTAAATTCTAGCTAACATCTAACGACGATCAAATAAATGTTACTTTCACCGAAAGTCCCACAAATTTTGATAACGAAAAAACATTCGACGACGAATTAGATTGGTCGCAATCGTTCTCACCCCACCACTTGAAACTAAACGAAAAACGTCCATATAAACCACGTAATCAACCCAATAGTTGCGGTTATTGTGGCAAAACATTTCGTAGACGTTACCAACTCGACACACATCTCAACATACATACCGGTTTAAAACCACATCAATGTGATGTTTGTGGCAGACAATTTCGTGCCATAACAACGTTGCAGCGTCACTTAAATACGCATAACGAACGTGAAACGTTTACATGTCAATTTTGTTCTAAACAATTCGGACACCGGGCGGCATTAGTTAGTCATGAGACACGTCATACGCAAGAGCGTTGTATAGCCTGTGATGATTGCACTAAAATGTTTTATACCCCAAATCAGCTGGATACTCACAAGCGTAAAGTACACAATAAATTGGATGATTATAGTTTATCATTTGCTTGTGATTTATGTCCGAAACGTTATCGTACGGCCTCCATGTTGAGCACACATAAATTTAAGAAACACTATAGGATGGCGAAATTTTCCTGCGAACAATGTGATAAGAAATTTGTGGAACAGAGTCAATTGAAGGAACACATGTTAAGTATACATTTTAAGAAATGTGCTTTAGGTTAGAGATTATTTATTAAAATTTGCTATTACTATTGATATAAAACTATTCAATCTGTTGTTTTTTTCTCCCTTTTGTGTTTTGGTTGACCATGAACATTGCGCATATGGCCCTGCAAAGAGTTAGGATGTTTAAAAGCACTTTCACATAATTTACATTTAAATGTTTTCTCCTCGGAATGTATAAAACTATGACGTACTAGTACACGACGATTAGCAAAGGCTGCTTGGCAGATGCCGCAAACATGAGGCCTAGTTTCGGAATGTGATATCATATGTTCGGTTAAAGCTGTTTTCGATATGAAGGGTTTACTGCACACCTTACAGGCAAATGGTTTCTCTCCCGTATGCACTCGTTGATGGGTTATCAATTCGGTATTAGAACGACAACCGTGACCGCACATATCGCAAACAAATTTCTTAGGTATACGATGTCTATACTGATGGGAGGCCAAACGTCTATAGGTTTGAAAAGCTTTGCCACAGTTTTCAAATTCACAAATGAACGTACGGTCCATGGTATGCACCTCTAAGTGCCGCTTAAGATAATCTTCGTCTATAAAACCTCGACCACAATTTTCCATGGGACATTTGAATTTTTTTTCTATAGTATGAGTTTTTAGGTGATATGTTACATGATAACTGCGTCCAAAACGTTTATCACATTGTGGACATTTGTAGCCATTATGCAGTTCTATAACATGGCGATCAAGATTTTTTTTCTGTGCAAATATTTCTGTGCATTCCGAGCAGGAGTATTCTATGTCTTTGTGTTTTTTCTTGGTATTTGAGACCCGTTCTTCGTCTTTATTTTTTGCGGAATCATTTAAAGGTGATTTGGAAATATTCTAAAAAAAGTAAATTATTTGAAAAATTAATTAAAAGCTAGATTTGAAAAAGATTTATGATTATATGTATGTGTACTAGTCATTAAAATAACCTACAGGACTGAAGCATAACTGGACACAAAAGAGATATATATGTAAATACGGGCTATAAAAAGAACAAAATCTGAAGCTAAACTAGTAAAACTATAGTAAAGGCTTAACTTGATCTAAGAAAGATCTAAGTTGGACTTAAGTTAGAAGGTAAGGTACAAAAATTAAAAGAATGAATCTAAAAAAAGATTACGACTTAAACTTACCACCGGCATATCCATTTCCTCTGAACTCGTAGATTGACTTTGTATGCTGTTCCGTTTTCTTATTACTTTCCTCTTAGTTTTCTTTAAAATCCTAAATTTTTCCTCTTCACTACTATCGACTCTATCATCGTCAATATCCTGATCATTTTCGCTATTATCTGTCATTTGTGTTTCCAACTGCGGCTGCCACTCTTTGCAATCCCCTTTCTTTTCATACAATAAACTTTCATTCTTTACCTCTATATCTAAATATTCATTTGCAACCATTCCTATTTGTTGTCGATAATCTTTTATATGGATATTTTGTAAATGCTGTAGAAATTCCTCAAATTGAAAGGATTTCATTTGGCAAAATGCACAACAAATAGAGAAATCATTAAAATTTTGACAAAATATTTCACCACATTTGGTAGTAGTGGCTGGCAGGTAGCTGGGAAATGTTAATAGTTTCAACATGGTGTCGATTTTTTTTCAATTTCAATAAATTTATTTTTTTATTTTTAGTTAAAACAATTACAATTTTTGTTTGTTTACAAAATACTACAACAAATCATTCACAATGAAGACAAGGCGAATTTTGTATAAGATGAAGTTAAATTAACAGCTGTAAGTTTGTTTTGTTTACACTTGTCAAATAATGAAGAAATATATTGTAATTGTTTATATGACGTACTAAATCTATCTTCTTTTAAATCCGTCTTACTGCGATTCACAATGTTGTGTTTGTTTCGCTGGAATTTGAAATATTTTTAAAATTTTTGACTTTTTTTGGTTTGGGTTCCCAATGTACACCTCTCATATGACCATCCAAGCATTGAGGTTGTTTAAAAGCTTTATCACATAACTGACATTTAAATAATTTCTCTTCCGAATGTATAAGCATATGCCGTTTCATTGTATGTCGATTAGTAAATGTAGCCTGACATATCTCACAAACATGTGGACGTATGGTGACATGGGTATTGGTATGATAATGTAGAGTGGCCTGAGAGGTGAAAGATTTTTCACATATCTTACAAGTAAAAGGCCTTTCGCCCGTATGCGTACGCTTGTGAATTTTCAACGCGGTAGAGGTACTACAACTATAGCCGCAATTATCACAAATATACCTTTTTGCTGGGGCGTGTATCTCCTTGTGTGCCTTTAGACTCTGATTGCTGAGATAAGCTTTGCCGCAATTTTCAAAATCACATACAAACTTTCGTGTCATATTATGCTTCTCTTGGTGTTGCTCCAAACGCTGTTGAGATGGGAATGCCTTGGTGCAATTTTCAAAATCACATACAAAAGTACATTTCATAGTATGGAATTCTAGATGATAGTTAAGAGATTCTTCAAAAGTAAAACTTTTCGGACAATCTGGGTAAGGACAGTTCACTCTCTGTTTAAATTTAATATGCGTTTTCCCCTTGTCGTGTATATTTTGTATGTGACGTTTAAGGTGATGTCGATGTCGAAAGCGCATTTCGCATTTGGAACATTTATGTCCACCATGTTGCTCCACAACATGCTGATCATAATCCTTTTTAAGTAAAAATAACTCTTGACAATCGGGACAATTGGAAGTTTCGACATTTTTTTGTTTAGGAGTGACAGGTTCATCTATTTTATTTATAGGAGAAAGTACTGATGTCTGTGGGAGGGTTAAAAATAAGTTTAATTAAAGATATATTTGCAAAAGTAACTATTGATTACCTCTTCCGACTGGTCTTCCACTTCCTCTATTGTATCGCTAATTGTAGGTTCAACATCCATTGATTCCTCTTCAAAACTATTGGCATCTTCATCATTATCATTGATGTCATATAAAATTTCACAACATTCCAATGTTTCCAAAACATCACCATTTTCTGCCTTTAACTCTTCGTTATCCTCATTAGAGTTATAGTTTTCATTATCTTCAAATTCATTAGAATTTAAATCTTCATCATCTTCAAATTCACTAGTCTCTATTGTTATGTTTTCAAAATGTTCATTTTGTATGTGCTGTAGGAAATCTTCGTAAGCAAATAGCTTAATTTGGCAAAAACAACAGCAAATAGTGACATTTTTTAAAGGATCACAAAATATTTCCCCGCATTTTGTTGTTGTTTGTGAATTTAGCACGCAAGACGGTAAAATCTTTAACATTTTTAAGTTAATTTTTGCTTTCTTTAAATTTCTGTTGTTAATTTTTTTCTTTTCTATTATTTTGTTTATCTTGACCAGCTGCTTATTTTTAACAACTGTCAAACTTTATATGTTAAAAAAATGAACGTGCTTTCATTTAGTTATTGTGAATGAATTTTTCATCACCATGTATTTACAAAAGATGGCAGACTATGTGTTGTAGGGTTGTATAAATCGACATTAAAATAAACAAAGATTCGACTTTTTGTTGGAAAAAGTCGATGTCGTCTTATTGTCCTAACAAAGTTTACAAATCGAGTATTTTGTAAAAGAATTCGTGGTGATCGGCAGACGGATGTGTAGTGATTATATAGTTTTACCATAAAGTTAATTTGTTAAAGTTATTTTGTGGTAATATTTATTTCAAGTCTTTTAAGGCTTAAAAAAAAAAACTGAGAAACAATCATTTATAATAAAGGTAAAAAGTTCTGGTTTGAGTTGTAACTGTCAAATAATTGCATATATTTGCAATTCAAATTTGTAATTATTTAAAGTTATTTGTCTTTTTTTGGTTTGGGTTCCCCATGCACACCTCTCATATGACCATCCAAGCCATTCGGTTGCTTAAAAGCTTTATCACATAATTGACATTTAAATAATTTATCTTCCGAATGTATAAGGGTATGCCGTTTCATTGTACTCCGATTGGTAAATGTAGCCTGACATATCTGGCAAACATGCGGACGTATGGCAGCATGTGTATTCATATGCAAGTGAAGTCTGGCCTGAGAGATAAAAGATTTTTCGCATATCTTACATGGAAAAGGCCTTTCGCCCGTATGTGTACGCTTGTGAATTTTCAAAGTTGTAGTGTTACTACAGCTATAACCGCAATTATCACAAATATACCTTTTTGCTGTGGCATGTGTCTCCCGGTGCTCATCTAGACTTCGTTTATTGAGATAAGCTTTGTTGCAATTTTCAAAATCACATACAAACGTTCGTTCCGTAGTATGTTTCTCTTGGTGTTGCTCTAAACGCTGTTGGGATGGAAAGACTTTGGTGCAATTTTCAAAATCACATACGAAAGTACATTTCATAGTATGGAATTCTAGATGATAGTTAAGGGAATCCTGAAACCTAAAACTTTTTGGACAATCTGGGTAGGGGCAGTTAACTCTTTGCGGAAATCTTACACTCGTTTTCCCCTTGTCGTGTATATTTTGTAAGTGCCGTTTAAGGTGATGCCGGTGTCGAAAGCGCATTATGCATTTGGGACACTTGTGCCCATTATGTTGCTCCACAACATGCTGATTATATTCCTTTTTAAGAACAAATATTTCTTGGCAATCGGGACAGGTTTCGATATCTTTTTGTTTAGGAGAGGCTTCATCATCTCTTTCCCTAATAATTGAAAGTTGTGAAGACTGTGAAAGAGTTAAAAATTATTTCAAATAATTAATTTAGTATCTATATATTACCTCTTCCGAGTGGTTTTGCTCTTCCTCTATTGTATTGCTAATTGTAGGTTCAATACTCGTTACCTTTAGAGTTTCTTCTTCTTCTTCTTCAGAACTATTATCCTCTTTATCATTATCATTGTAGTCGTATAAAATTTCACAGCATTCCAATGTTTCGAACAGTTCATCACTGTTTTCTATATTAAACTCTTCATTATCTTCAAATTCATTAGATTCTATTGTTATGTTTTCAAAATGCTTATTTTGTATGTGCTGTAGGAAATCTTCGTAAGCAAAGAGTTTAATTTGGCAAAAACAACAACAAATAGTGACATTTTTTAAAGTATCACAAAATATTTCCCCGCATTTTGTTGTTGTTTGTAAATTTAGCACGCAAGCCGGTAAAATCTTTAACATTTTTAAGTTAATTCGTTTAATAATTTTTGCTTTTTTTAAATTTCCTGTTGTTATTTTTTTTTTTTTCTTTTTTAATATTTTGTTTACATTGTCCAGCTGCTTATTTTTAACTACTGTCAGACTTGCATTTATTGTGAATGAATTTAACATCACCATGCATGTATTTACAAAAGATGGCAGACAGAGGCAGTATGTTGAACGGTTCTATAAATCGAAAAGTCGACTTTTATCGGACGTTTGTCAAATTCTGTACGTAAAATAAAGTTATGTGCTTGCTTCCATATTCGTATTTATTTAAGATTTTCCATACAAAATTCTTACAATAAACCATCAATAGCTATTTTAAGTATTTATGGGAGTTAGTTATTTTATGGTATTATTTTTATCAAGTATTTTTATGGCAATTACATACATAAATTTTTTGTTTGTTTTTAAAATACTGAGAAATTATTCATTCAATGTAACTGACAAATGTTTTCTATTCACAATGTTTCGGTTGTTTCACTGGAATTGGTAATATTTTTAAAATATTTAACTTTCTTTGGTCTTGGTTCCAAATGCAAACGTCTCATATGACCATCCAAGCCAGCCGGTTGTTTAAAAGCTTTATCACATAATTGACATTTAAATAATTTCTCTTCCGCATGCGTATAGGCATGTCGATCAAGTATCTGCCGATTGGCGAATGTAGCCTGACAAATCTGACAAACATATGGACGTATAGTGGCATGTGTATTCATATGCAAGTGAAGAGTGGCCTGCGAGGTAAAAGCATTTTCGCATATCTTACAAGTGAAAGGTCTTTCGCCCGTATGTATACGTTTGTGAACGCGCAATATAGTCGAGGCACGGCAACTATAGCCGCAAGTATCACAAATAAAGCGTTTTGCTAGAGCATGTACTTCCTGGTGAGCTTTTAAACGGGTTTTATTGGGAAAAGCTTTGTCGCAATTTTCAAAATCACATACAAACGTACGTGCCATAGTGTGTTTCTCTTGGTGTTGATCTAAACGCTGTTGCGTTGGAAAACTTCTGCTGCAATTTTCAAAACCACACACAAAAGTACATTTCATAGTATGAAATTCTAGGTGATAGTTAAGGGATTCCTGTAAAGCAAAAGTTTTCGGGCATTCTGTATAAGGGCAGGGTACTCGTTGCTTTAATCTTCTATGTTTCCGCTCGTCGCTATCCTCGTGCATATTTTGTAAGTGTCGTCTTAGGTGATGTCGGTGACGAAAGCGCATATCGCATTTCAGGCATTTATGACCGCTGTGTTGTTCAACAACATGTTGATCATATTCCTTTTTAAGAAAAAATAACTCCTGGCAATCGGGACATAATAAAGCTTCGAATTTTTGGTTTGGAGCATAAGGATCACCTATTTCATAAGCAGTAGAAAGTTGTGACGTCTATGGGAGAGTTAGAATAAAGTTTAATTCGATATCTTAAAGGATTATCTGTTTATTACCTCTTCCGAGTGATTTCCTTCTTCCTCTATATTACTTTCTTTAGCGCTTCTAGGTATTTTGCTAAATTTAGGTTTAACTTTTAACACCTTCATTGTTTCTTCTTCGGAACAATTAACCTCATCGTCATTTTCATTGCAGTCATATAAAATATCACAACTATCCAATGATTCCAATATTTCATCACATTTTTCATCCTTAGATTCGTTATTTTCGCGAAATTCATTACAGTCTTCTTTTGTTAGGTGGTCAAAATGTACATTTTGTATGTGCTGCAGGAGATCTTCGTAAGCAAATAATTTAATTTGGCAAAAACTGCAGCAAATAGTGAAATTTTTTAAAGTATCACAAAATATTTCCCCGCATTTTGTTGTTGTTTGTAAATTTAGCGGGCAAGGAGGTAAGCTCTTTAACATTTTTTTTTTCAGTTAAATTGTATTGAGTTTTTTTATAATTTTTTTTTTTTAGTTTCCTGTTACAATTTACTTTTTTCACATATATATACATATGTACAAATTATTTATATTTGCCAGCTGTTTAACAGCTGTCTAATTCTATATATAAAAAATCAGGGTTTACAGAATTTGCTTTAAATGTCACGCTGAAATTAATTCACAATAGCTAATTGTGAACACAACAGGTATTTAAACGATGTAAACAAAAACAAATTTTATGTTGCTTTTTTGTAAATAATGAAATTCATAAATAATACGTGCCTCATAACATCGTTAACATTTTTTATTTATTTATCGTAAACATATATAATTACAAATATGTATGTACATGTTTCAATTATCATATTTCCATGATGTAAACTTAGTGCTTCCTGCATATTTCATTAACATAAATACAATTCAGTTTTTAACGAAGGATGATAGATCTTAAGATTCATGAAATTGTTTCATATGTTTATCTAAACATTTGGCGCGTTGAAAAGGTTTAAAACATTCCGGGCATTTGATAAACTTTTTAGTGGCATTTACTGTTGGAATCTTTTCAACAGCATATTCATCTTTGCTATCAGCAATACGTATAATTTTTGCTTTAATTCTACCAGTTTTATTTCCGCTATGTACTCTCTGTATATGCGTGCGCAAATGTGCGAAACTTTTAAAAGTAGCTTGACAAATTATACAAACCTCAGAGCGTGTGCTAATATGAACCAGCATATGATCCTGCAATACTTTTTTCGATATAAAACTTTTTAAGCATTCTGTACAAGTAAAAGGTTTCTCTCCGGTGTGGATGCGCTTGTGTACAACTAATGTAGCGGCGCAAAAATTTCTATAGCCGCAAATGTCACAAACATGCTGTTTATTATGTGTATAACGGTGTACTCTTAGGCGTGCCTGTGTTGGATAAGCTTTACCACAATTCTCTATATCACAAACGAAAGTGGGTTCAATGGTATGGACCTCAAGGTGACGCAGAAGATTTTTTCTATTTGTAAATGTTCGTCCACAATTTTGTCTAGGACAAGGCAATTTGGTGTTGGTTTCATTATGTACATTACTTGCATGTCCCTTTAAGGCTGATAACGAAATAAAACGTTTTTCACAGCTCTCACATTGAAAAGGTCTCTCACCTAGATGGGTACGTTTGTGTATTATTAAAGTCGACGGAGCAGCACATCTATAGCCACAAATATCACATTCATTATGTTTTTTATGTGAATACAGGTGATTTGTTAAACGTTTCTCTGTGGGAAATGCTCTTTGACAGTTTTCAACTTTACACACAAAAGTAGCCTCCATTGTATGTAACTCCAAATGAGATTTAAGATTTTCTAATTTATTAAAGCTGCGCCTGCAGTTATCGTAAGGGCAGGGCATTTTTATTTCGTTAGGATGTGACTTTAGGTGTCTTCGAAGTTCACGTTGATGTTGAAATCGTCTAGAGCATTGTGGGCATTTGTAACCCTTATGTATAACGTTAACATGTTCTTGCAGCATTTTCCTGAGGCGAAAAATTTCCCAGCATTCAGTACATTTATACTGTTTTTCTATTGTAGTTTTTAAAACGTCTTTATCGCCACAATTTTTTTCGTCTGTTGATTGGTCTTCACTTAGATTTGGGTTTAACTATAAAAGTGTAAAATTTAATATTTCTTTAATTTTGCTTTAAAATTGTTTCATTGCCCACTTACCGCTTCATCTGCATTTATTCTTTCGTTTTTTTTGTTCCGTTTTATGTGTTCTGGCTCAACTTGTAATACTTTAAGCAGGGAAACATCACCTGTACTTTCCTCCTGAAGATTACTGTCAAAATCTTCAAAATCCTCTTCACTCTCAACCTCCTTTTCTTCTTCATTGTCACTTGCCGTTATCCACTCTACCTTAAGTTTCACCTCTCCGGCTACATCCTCATCAATATCATTTACTATTGTTTGATTATTTAAATCAATATTTTGAAATTCTTCATCACTGGCCAATATACTTTCTTCCTTAAGTTTTATCTCCTCGGAAAGTAAATTATTAATATTACTGTTTATTATCTCCTCAGTTACATCTTCTATTATTGTTTGTTTTTTTAAATTAATATTTTCAAACTCTTTTTCATTTTCACTGGCCCATATCCGTTCTTCCTTAAGTTTTAACTCCCCTTCTACGAAATTATCAACATTTCTGGCCACACCAACTTCTTCTGTTATTATTTGTTCTTCTAGCTGATTATTTCGAAAATGTTCAGCCAGTAAATGTTCACAGAAATCCATGAAATCAAACAATCTTAAATTACAAAACCCACAATAAATAAAGAATTCTTTAAAGTTGTTACAACAAAATATTTCGCCACATTTTTGTGAAAATTTTGAAACTTTATTGAGGACAGGAGGATTAACTCTGAACATGGTAAATTTTTATTCTAATTTATGAAATATTTGTAATTATTTATTTGTATTTTGTTACTAAAACCGCATTTTATTGGTTTGTTTACTTTTATGCAAAATATATAAACAATAGGCTAGTGAGGCCAACTAGGCTTTAAGCAAAACTCCGCTAGTTAACTAAAAAACGCTGTAATTTTAGTTTAAGAGCTTTTTTGTTTTTTTTAGGTAGATATTACTAAATGACAACTGTAGAAATACATTATTGTGAATGTTATTAATTTATTAGTAAAAAAACTGCTAACCAATAGCAAAACAAATAACAGGAAGGAAATTAAAAACAAAAATTAACCATTCCAGAAACAATGCTAAAAACTTTATGTCCCTACCAGTTAAATCGCGCTACCCAAACAAACTTCAAATAAATAAAATATGTTATTAATATGATAATTATTTTATAAATTATTTACGTATTTTTTCCACCTGTTTACAATTTTATACTTTTGTTTACATTTTTGTCCATTTGTTAACTAAAACACTCACAATAAGCTGTTATGCGCTGGTGCCTATTTAATGAAAATATTTAAGCTTAAAAAATCGTAAACTAAAATTAAAGCGTGTTTTCGACTAATTTACTCTAAATATGACACAACACAAGTTGTCAACACTAAAGCGTTTATTTATTGTGAATGTATTTCTTGTAATGTAAACAAAACCAGGAAATTTTACAACTTCAAAACAAAAAAATTTTAATAAATAATAAACATGTTAAAAGTTGAATCTCCTGGTTTCAACTTAATACCACCATTACATGGAAAATGTGGCGAAATATATTGGAACAACTTTAAAGATTTCGCAATTTATTGTTGCTTTTGTAATTTACAATTATTTGCCTTCGAAGATTTCCGTGGACATATTTTGGATGTACATTTAGAAAATTGTACTTTAAAAGAACAAGTAGATATTGATGATAATCCCATTGCGGGGGAAGTGGAACTAAAGCAAGAACATTTAACGGCCGGTGAAAATGAAGAATTTGAAGCTCCTACAGAAAACTGGAACGAGGAGCAGGTGGCAACAGCAAGTGAGTCGTCCGATGACAGTGAAGATGATTTCCAAGATTCTAATAGTAGTTTTGAGGATAGCAGCACTGATCGTTCCTTGCTAAAGGTTTTACATATCAAAACGGATGTTAGGGAACGAAAGAAAATGAGAAGGCTTAAAACTAAAACTCTAAATAGTAGAAAGGAATGCGCAGAGACATTGGAAGCGGTAAGTGGTAACTTAAACAATTCTTTTAGACCTCAACATAAATTTACACAAATATTTCTTAAGTTTAATAAAACTACGTCTAAAGATGAATCAAATGCAGAAGAAAATTCTGGCGATGAACCAGAGACGAGACGACGAGCTAAACAATATAACTGTCCTGAATGTTCTGAGATATTTTCAATTAAAAAAATTTTGGATGGACATGTTCTAGCTATGCATAAGGGTTACAAATGCTCCCTCTGTGACAAACGTTACTCACGACAATCACAGCTTAAAATTCACTTTAAATCTCATAGTGAGGAAAAACCAAAAATTCCCTGTCCCAACATCGATTGCACACGAATATTTAGCTGCATAGATAATCTAAAACGTCATCTTGAGTTGCATACAATGCCAGCAACTTTTGTATGTGCTGAGGAAAATTGCCGGAAAGCATTCCCCACCGAACAACGTCTATTAGCACACTCTAAAAACCATAAAAAACATTATATTTGTGATATTTGTGCTTATAGTTGTTGTTCCAATGCCACATTGATCATACACAAACGTAGACACACGGGCGAGAAACCGTTTTCCTGCGACATATGTAAAAAACATTTTATATCAAAGTCAGCCTTAGGAGAACATATGCATGTTCATCGTAGAACGGGTAATCATGTTTGTAGGATTTGTAGTGCTTCGTTTGTTAATGATAGATATTTGTATCGTCATATGGTCATACATAATTCAAAACGTACTACGAAATGTTCATTATGTGATAAAGTTTTTCCGACCTCCAAAGGATTAAGTAATCATAGGAAATATTGCCATATAAGAGACAAAGTTCAGTTAAACAAATTAGCTGAAAAGAAGGAAAAATGTAATGCAATTGAATTAGGCAGTGAAGGGGTTCGAGTCAATGTGGTAAGTGAATATTTTTTTTTGCTAGTTTATAGGATATCATAGACTATAGTCTGAACTATAGACTGCACTATAGTTTGGACTATAGGATAGACAATAGATTGTAGTCAAGGCTATAGATTAGACTATATACTAGACCAAAATCTAGACAATACACTAGACTTACGATTAGGCTATAGACTATACTATAGACTAGACTATTGACTAGACTATAGTCTGGACTGTAAACTAGACTATACTATAGACTATAACTAGACTTAACTATAGACTAGAATTTAGTCCAGACTATAGACTAGACTATAAATTATTTAATATTTTCTATATTTCTATTAAATTTGTTTCCACAGTTAAATCAAAACATATCTAAAGATGACAATTCCAGTAAAAGTTCTTGCCACGATACCCAGAAAAATTCGCACGAAGACCAACAACAACCCAGTGATAACAATGAAATACTAATATTTCCTTGTCCTAGAACAGAATGTGGTAGAACTTTTGCAAGTGAAAAAAATCTTAATCGACACCTGGAAGTACATACCATGCAAGCTTCATTTATATGTAATATTGAAAATTGTGGTAAAGCTTTCCCCACCGAAGCACGACTAAAGTTACACGCACGAGTACATAATAAACGTAATGTATGTGATATTTGTGGCTATCGGTGTGCTGCTCTAGCAACTTTAGTGATACACAAGCGGGTACACACGGGAGAAAGACCTTTTTCGTGTATGACTTGCGAAAAAACGTTCATATCAAATACTGCCCTACTAGAACATATGAACGTACATGCCACCGCACGTTCTCATGTATGTGAAATATGCCAATCTGGTTTTACTAGTTTCAAGGCATTGCGTCGACATAAAAAGACCCATACCAACGAAAGAAACTATAAATGTAGATTGTGCGATAAGGCATTTAAGACCTACAACGGTTTGGACAATCATATGCGATGTATGCATCGAGAACCTAAAGCCACAAATGAAATACAAACCGATATACTTATTGCGGATAATTTTGTGGAATATGCTTTGAAAAAAATCGATCCATCATCAAATAAGATAAAAAAATACAAATGCGAAGAATGTAATAAAACTTTTAAACGGCTCAATGGTTTGGATAATCATTTAAGGCAATTTCATGGTGCCACTGATTCTTCAATAGTTGAGAGTTTGGAAAACTCTGATAAAAAGAAATTCAAATGTAATTTGTGTAATAAAATGTTTACCTCTTTGAAACGCCACAATTTAACGCATAAGAATGATAGAAAATTTGAATGTAAATTATGTGATAACATTTTCAAAACCTTTAACGGTTTGAACAGTCATATGGTACGTATGCATGGAGATGCTAATAATCTGACGGTCGATAAAGAATTAAACAATGCAGAGAGTTCGGTAGTCGAGAAACTTTAAATTAATGAATAGCAAGGAAGTATTATTTAGTTATTTACTTTATAATTTAAGTATTGATTGTTTGAATAAATAGTTTTATTTTGAATTGTAATACGGAAGAGGAGGGTTTTCTGAGATAATTCCTCAAATTTCAAATATCTTTGATTAGAAAAATATATTTTCAAGCATTTTATTATTCATTTCATTTCCTTGCGCTAGAAAAATCATTAACAATTATTAATTATATTAAATATTAAATAAGTTTAACTACAACTACATACTAACAGTCATGCACTATACTATTTACCGCTGAAATAGTTTCTTCTCTAGCTATAGGAGGTGTTACCTCTAATACACTAGAGAAATTATCGGGAAAGAATGAAGTGTAAGTAGAATTTTGTATAAGCTCAACGATAACACGTTTCGCTTCTTCCTCTTTATGATTAATCACATCATCGGGTGGCTGTAGTTCAGTTGCCGCCAAATCTTGATTATGATTGTGACTAAGAGATATATACGATTGACTAGGATTTGTTATATTTACTGATTGTTTAGTTTCCAAATTTAACAAGGACGCGGCTGTGCTAGTGTCAAACACTTCATGTTGGGGAATTTCAATTTGTTCTTCAATTATTTGCTGTGAGTATTTGTCGGATGGTATGATAAACGCTGATTCTGATGAGCTGTTTAGTGATAATTGTTTCTTACGATTCACACTGCGCGTTTCATTCGAGCGGGGACGACGTTTACGTTTGATGGTGTTATTGGTTTGTTCCTTTTTAGGTTTTGGTGGTGGTCTAGGCAGTTTATGCATAATTTTGAAATGATGACTGAGACCAGAACTAAAATTAAACACTTTACCACACACCGAACAACTAAGTAAACGTTTGGGTCGTGGTGTGTGTATTTTCATGTGTTGGGTAATGCGCAAAGTAACTTTACCGCAAACCACACAAGTTTGAGGCACTTGTTCTTTGTGATTACGCATATGTTCCATTAAAAAGTATTCCGTGGAATACTTGCGACCACACGTAGAGCATTTAAATACTTCACCCGAATTATGAGAAGCCAAATGTTCTTCAAAGGTAAGTGGATCGGAAAAGTTTTTATTACATTGTTTACAGTTAAAGGGACGATCCAAATGGACCTTAACCATATGCCTTTCCAGCAACGAAAGGCTACTCAATTGACGATTACATATTTTGCAAATGAACCCATCTGGATAGTGGACACTCTCCACATGATGTTTCAGTTGACTTAATTTATTAAAAAGTTCATCACAGTCCGAACACTTATGTGCCAATTTAACACTACTATCCGATTCGAGATAATGTATACGTTTGTGTATAGTTAGACTGAAATGACTGCGAAAAGTTTTACCACAAGCCGGACATACAGCCAATTTATTCTTGCCCTCCTCTTGCCCTCTATAATGATTGTAACGGCCAGTGTTCAGTGGGGGGCCTAATCCGCTTTTTACTAAATCATTATTGACAGTTTTACTAACCGGCGAGGGCAGTTTATTGGGTATTTTAGTTCCCTCCGGTATTAAGGTTATAACAGTTTCACCTATTATTTTGCGTGTCACTTCATTTGTATTTGCTTTCGATTCTTCAGTTTGTGTTGCTGGATTTAGCTTATTATTTGTTTCTACTACTTCATCATTATCTATTAAACTTTCTATAGCATCTTGAGTTTCCTGTTCATTTTGTGCATTTAATATATCTGAGGAAAATATCTGTTGGGATTTTTGCTGCTCATTTTGTATGCGTTCATAAAGTTCTGCTATACGATTCTTGACGGCGATTACTTTAACCGTGGTGACCTTTTTACGTCGACGTTTTAAACGTAATAAGTCCTGTATGTTCGACTATAAAAATGAGAAAATTGAAAATAAGATAAAGAATAAAGTTCAGACTATACAGCATACTATAGTCCAGACATTAGAACAAACTATAGCCTAGACCCTAGACTATTCTATAGTCCAGACAATAGAAAATATTACCTAGATCCAAGACTATAATATAGTCCATACAATCAAAGCATTGCATACAATAGAACAAACTATAGTCTAAAGCCTAGTATAAACTATAGTGAAGACTATAGACTAGTCTATAGTCCAGATTATTGACTAGATTCTAGTTTAGAATATTCAAGAAATAAAAACTCACCCTTTTCTTTTGCGTTAGTCTATTACTTTCTTTAGGATTTTTCTCTTTCAACACACATACCCCTTCCGAACGTATCTTATCGATATTTGTTTCATTTATAAAACATTCCTCAAAACTATTGCCGCTTTTCACTTTATCTGAAGGACTGGATGCTAATGTCGACGTTTTTAACTTATCTACATAATCGTTTGTATCTCTTGAAGTAGTGTTATCCGTTAATAGCAAATAACTATTATCCTCTGTCAAGGTATCACGCATTTCTTGTTCTACCTCGGCACGTATCTCATCAGCATCTTCTATTTCCTCTATAAGCATTTCGGTATTGTTTAAATCGTGTTCCAGAGGCAAAGCATCTGTAACAAAATTATGGCCTGAAATTTCAGTGTTAAGTGATTGTTTATCCAGTTCCTCATCATACTCAAAAGCATCTCGAGTATCCTCATCGTCATCCTCCGTTTGGGTTTGAGGATAGGAAGACATATCCAATTCATTGATTTCTTTGTCAGAAACTAAAGTTTTATCTACACATTCCTCTAGGTCAGCCAAAAACTCTACTTCCTCCTCTTCCTCCAGCAACTCTTCTTCCTGTGCCATCAACTCCTGCAGCTCCTCTTGTTTATACGCTTGTCCTTCCATTTCCTCATGGTTTTCCTCTTTTAAATGTTCACTTAGATGCTGACAGAAATATTCAATATTATCATAAGTTTCACGACAAAAGGTACAATAGAACTTTAGCAAACGTGTATTTTCATTATAGAAGACATGTCCACATTGTGTATCATTTTCTTCCAGTACACAAGTCTGCTTTTCAGCATATATATGATCACCGTTGGAGGTATGTTCGATTTCCTCTAATTTAATATTGTCCATTTTAGAAGGTTTCGTTGAATTTTTCTTATTTAATTAACATTTTTTAGGCGTTTTTTCGAAAAATTCTATAAATTAATGAGTTTGTTTTTGTTTTCATTGTCAAAAATTTAGCTTTGTTTTGTAGAGATGCCAGATGGTAAGGATATGAACATAAATTTTTTGGAGAGTTATAGAAGAGAGATTCAAAGGAATTATTTTATTAAATAATACAGTATGTGTATATTTAATGGATTTACTATTCACTTAAAACATATTTGTAAACAATTAATTATTTAAATCGATAATTTAATTTAGTTTTATTTATACGTTATATTTTCTTTCACATCTGGTAATACTAAAATATGTGATTTTTGTTTCATTCCACTTTGGTTCCATTAAATAATCCCTATAAGAACAGTGACAGTAATTTGACCGGTCAATTGACTGTCACTACTGAGAATATACCCATCATTGCGTAGAACAAAGCTCCCATCACTTTCTTAAGGGCAATATGTAAAAAGTGATGGAAACATTTGTGTACATGTGATGTTGCATCACCCTCGCACTTATGAATTCTATCGACTTTAAAACATATATTTGAGCTGCTCACTCGTTTGTTGTTTACTAATCATGGATGATATAAATATTAGTCATGATTGACTAATCATGCTTGATGGATATATCCATCACAGTTAACAAATAAAAAAATGATGCATTAATCGGTCATTGTTGACTAATCACACTTGATGAATATATCCGTCAAATCTGACGGCTATACCAATTTATAATAAAACACAATTTATTGATATTTTAATATATATATATTGTTAATTTTATTAATATAGTAATCATATACATAAATTACCAGCCTTTTCACCATTTTACATAACTCGCAGAATCTTAAGTCCTCTGTTGCTCCTATTAATTTGTGGAAATAAGTTGTCTGTAAAGAAATACATAAGTATTCATAAATATCGAAATATAAAAATCATAAGTACATATTTATGTTACCATTGATTGATTAAACTCCGAATTGTTTATCTTCTGATCCACTTCCTGAACTTTTTTAAAATTTAGTTTATAATAATTCTCTTTATTTTTAATAATTTAAAGACTTTGTCATTTTTTTATTTTTTCGCTTCTTGATCTTTGGCTTTCGCAGAAACAATTAATTTGTAACGACGAAAAATACAACTCTGTAACACAGTGACAGTCATTTGATCGGTCATTTGGCTGTCATTGTTGATCAAAATATAAATTTTAATACATTTTAATCAAAATGTAGTTGTTTCATTCTTTCATATGCAAATTCAACCCTATACCACACATTGGGTCCAGTAACGGTCATTTTACCGGTCATTTGACTGTCATTGTTGATGGAATCATCCATTAAATTTTTTTTTCGACAATTCTATAAAAAAAATGTTGCGTGTGTGTTAGTAAAATCATTTTGTATGTGTTAGTTTCGGTCATTCATTTCTTATAGGGAAGGCAACTCTTTAAATGTTTGACCAATGATGCTAACTCTTTCTTTAATATACGTCGTATCTTTTTCAAAATAATGTATATTATTTTTTCTAACTTTTATGGAAAAAATTTATTATTTTTTGTTTTAATAATTTTTCTATAGTGAAATTTACGTCTGTAATTTAAAATTTATTTTTATATTTCTTTTTTATAGAATTAAATGCTTTTTAAAACTATAACATTTTTTCCCGCTAAAGTAAAAATCGCCAAATTTGTTATACAATCTAAGAAAATTGACAGCACTGTATTTGACAGACGTGATTCAGTGTGTACACAAAATTATTTTGTGATTCTACGAATTTTATTTGTAAATTCCCAAAAAATTAATAAAATTTGCACATATTAAAGCTTAAACTAAGCAAAAAACTTAACTTTAAGTAAAAATGCTTTAAATGTAATAAAAATATAAAAGAATAATGTAAAGCAAATCAATGAAATTTGCAAATATCAAACAAAAAAAACTTTCACACTGTACTTGTGTTTTTTCCTACTTCGATTTAATGAGTGAAAAAAAGAAGAAGCAGTAGTAATACAAAAAGACAAAAACTGCAACAAAAGAAGAGAGGAAAACAAAAGGCGTTCCAAATGAGTGACCAATATATGAAAGAATTGCTGCGTGTGGCAGTGGCACAAATTTGTCAAACTATAGGCTATAATGCCACACAATCAGCACCATTGGAACTACTACAAGATGTTTTGGATAAATTTATGAGGGAATTTACCAGAGATTTAAGGCGCCAAGTAGAACATTGTGAGTGTTAAGGAATTTTTGTGGCTTGGTGTTCTTTGTTATGTTTTTGTTGTTGTTTTTTTTTTTCGTTAGACAACCGCACCGAGGCCAATTTAAATGATGTGACCTTGACCTTGAGCAGCATTAATGTTAATTTAAATGAATTACTGGATTATATTAACAATGTGGAGCCGGTACCGTTTGCTTTGGATGTGCCCAAATTTCCAGCTCGTAAAGATTCTGCTTTGAATTTCTTAAAACCGGGTAGTAAAGAGGTGTTGACAAGACCGGTACATGTACATGCACACTTGCCGCCTATGCTGCCGCCAGAAATAACACAGCAGCCAGCAGAACCACTAGCTTTGGCTGGCAGCAGCAGTAACAGCGGTTCAAATAGTAATTTAAGCGATTCAAAAACTTTTCAAGATAATTTAACTGCTTCAGCAAATAACGCCAATGGAGAAGCAACTAATGGTGTGTTAGATGTTAAATTTGTTAGAGCATTTTATTTTAGTTTATTTTTTGTTGTATTTTTTTAGAAAACTCGGCAAAATCACTAAATTCTTCTACTGTTTTGGATAAAACTACTTTACACTCTTTATTTAAACCAAGCACAAATCTTGAAGATGGCGAAAGACCTACCCGTGAGGTTAGTAGTGTGGTCATGACCACTGGCGGCTATATATCACCAGCTGTAGAGGGTAAAATGCCAGAAGCTATAGTACCCGATATAATAGGTAATAGAAAACTAAACTAAAACTAAAATTTTGTGTGTTAACATAATTTTTTTATTTGCAGACAAACTACTGGGTCTTGATGCGCCACCACCACCTCCACCGCCCCCTGCTCCACCCACACAATCCCGACCTGCTTCACGTTCTGCAAACTCTACGCCAAATCCTCTTAATAACGAAAACTCTTCTGCACTAGCGGAAAAAGATGGCGGCGAACGAGAAATTGCAACCACCACCAGTAAGGAATCTAAAAAACAAGCTTTGGCACGCAGCCTCGAACCACAGCCAGTGACACATAAGAAAACTGAACTTTTGGCAGATTTGCCAAATATGAAAAAACATAAATTATTTAATGCTTCCGGTGGTAAAAACTTTCACCCTGATTTACAGCCTCAGCCGGTCGGTAATTTCAATAAAAAATCCTTTATGATGCATCAAAATAATTCCGGCGCTCTGCAAACACCTCAAACCAATTATGCTAATATGCTTTTAAAGAAAGCCAAAAAACAAAAGGTTCCCCTTTTAACAGGCCAGCCCTTAAATGAGAAACATGCCAAACCTTTAGGCGATAAAATGGGAAAAATGGATGCTGCCGATAAGGCTCACCGCAAGTACATGAAAATGTTACAAAAAATGGCTAAACAGGGTAAAATACCACCTGAATTGTTAAGTAATATCATGGGACCCGATAAAAAATCCAAACAAATTAACCCGGCCATAGTGGCTAGCATGCCACCGGGTCCAGAGAGACTGCAGTTGGAGAAATTGCTACGAAAACAGGCCAAACAAAGGCAAAAACTGATGAAACAGCAAATGTTAATGGAGGTACAAAAACAATCGAAAAAACCTATACAACAACCACCACCTTTGGTGCCCATATTTCCGCCACGTATGTCTGAAGCAACAAGCAAACCTTTAGCTTTAGATATGGACGAACAAAAGCTTAAAATGGAAGGCAAAGATATGACAAATGTGTCACCGGTAAAACCACAATTTACTCCCAATATTGTTAGCAATACTACGCCAACAGGACATCAGTTACCGGAGGCCTTAGTAAATAAATTCCATAAAACCCCTATTGCAAATGAGGCACCTCCCATTGAGCTTATGGATAACAATGCCAAACCTTTATTAACAGCAGATGGCAAAGAATTGAAGTTATCCAATGAACCAGATCGCTCTAAGCTGAATATATTCAAAAAGATTTCCAAACAAAAAACCCCCAAACCCTCCTCACCCACACCCATGCGTTTGCCAGGACTTAATGATACACCCATAATAAATTTGCCCTCGGGTACTACAATAACACCGGCGCCAGGACCCTCCCAGCCCGCGAATGCATCCGCACCTTCCTTGGGACGTAATCTATTCCCTCCTCTAAATGATACCAACAACACAGCTCTCAATAGCGGCAATATTATTAATGTAGATGATATCAAAGACAAACCTGTGGCGTCAACCCCTACAAACCAAATAAATCCCCAACAACCCGCCGATTTAAGTCTGCTTAATCGTGTGTTTGGTGAAAAACCCCCCGAAGTGGAGTTGATAAATAAGCCCAAGAAACGTGGACGTAAACCGGGTAGTAAAAATTCACCCAAAATTCCAGGACAATTTCCCAATAGTATGCTAAAGAAAAACAGCAAGAAAATGAAGCTGGATAATAGCCATCTATTCCCAGGGCAAATACCTTCACAACTACCGCCGGGTTTTGGTGCTGCCGGTGGTATGGGTAATTTATCTTTCGATAATATGGCTCAGTTGTTTGGCAATCCCTTAAATCCTCTAGAATGGGCTCAAAATAAACACTTGCAACAGCAAATGATGATAATGGCGGGTGCCAAAGAGCGCAAGGAACATAAGAAAAAATCTAAACTACTTAAGCAAGATCTCTTAAATAATGACAACAGTATGGCTTCTCTTAATATGACAAATCCAGCTACTAACATGGCAGTACCTACCAACGAGGAGGTGCAATCTATCAACAAAAAACTTATGCGCATGGATACTATTTTAAAAGCGGCACCCTCCTCGTCTTCAACTACAGATTTATCGGTTGATACCAGTTTGATAACGGGCAAAAAATTACCCTCACCCGCTATTTTCCCTTCTGTCGACTCTTCCGCCTCCTCTACGTCACCCCTTAAATCACCTGGTAATTCTAAGCGTTTGTTGGCCGGTGCTGAGGCCATGGCTAGCAGTTTGGTACAACCTTTTATGCTGCCCAATCGTCCAGCCTTTCCCAATTTACCCACTAACATGCTGTCCATGCTACAGTTTCCATTTCCTCCTCGTCCTGGTTTAATACCTACACCGGGTCTATTTCCCACACCTGGATTGGGAGCATTTCCCAATAATCCCAAAAATCCTCTATTGCCTGGACTCTTTCCATTTCCGAATCTTAAGCAGCCAATGGGTAGTGAGAATGCTGCTGTAAATCAAGGTAAGTTTAAGTTTGAACAAAATATGTTTTACTTCCAGAACAATTATTGTTCACTTTCAGATCAATGCTAAATCACTTCTAGTTTAGTTTTATATCAGTTCTAAATAAATTCTAGAAGGGTTTTAGATAGATTGTAGAAGAATTCTAGATAAATTGTAGAATAATTTTAGATAAATTCTAGAAATGTTCTAGATCAGTGTTTAGTTCTAGTTCAATTCTAGTTTAGTTCTAGTTCAATGCCAGTTTATTTTTAGTTATATTCTACTTCAATTATTGGTTGCAATTAAGGTTAATTTGATTTTTCTTATTTTTCTCTTTTTTTTTCCCAGATACAGAAGATTTAACAACAGACAAGAAGAAATCTGACACAAATATACAAGCAGCTGAACGCAGTTATTGTAATGTTGCCCCCTTGGTACCCGATTTCCTGACAAAACTAAACGAACAGCAGCAGCACTCTGGCGGCTGTGGAAATAAACATTCGCACGAGCCGCCCCACGCTCATGAACCCGATTTACCTAAAACTCCCAAACCACGTAATTCACATTCAAATACTCTGACCCATGATAATTTACTTAAGAAAATGCAAGACGCCCATACACCAGAAAGTGCTGGCGGCAGTATAAGTGGCAAATCAATACCGTCAACACCGGGTGGCATGTCTCTCAATACCTTCGAGCAGCTAATGAAAAAGAATGAAAGTCCCATGGATTTGATGGCGCTCAATAAACACAATAAGTCTTTGTCACAATCGCAGGAATCTGGTTTAGACTTCTCGATGAATAAAAAATCAAATCACAATATGGGAGGAGGAGGAGGAGGAGGTAATATGGGTGGTTTAAGCATTAAAACACCCATTACATTAAATAATGAACCCATTGAAGTATCCGATGATTCAGATGAAACAAATCAACCACCACCACCACCGTCAACGGCTAAAACACAAGCCACAGCTACAACACATTTACCCAGTCAGCCTTCACAAGCACATGCAGCGTCAACACATCACAGCAGCTTTAATATGGATGATATGTTTGTGGCTAATACCAGTAACAACAGTCATATGCCACCAAAGCCATTAGATACTGACTTGTCCACTAAAGAGCTTAAAAAGTTGAAAAAACAAGTGAAAAAATCGTCCTCCAGTATTAATGCCACTTCCTTGATAAGTGCAGACAAATCTGATGGAGGTCTAGCTACAGGAACAGGAAACGCAGGAGGTGTGGGAAAATTAGCTGGCGGAGCTGATCTAATACCTTTGACTTCTACCGGTATGGCGTATTCATCTAAAAATATACCCTACAATAGTTTAACAGCCAATGCAAATCCCACTTTCAATGCTCACAAAAACGATTTTACCAACACCTCAGCATCAACATCAGCCGCTGCAGCAACCTCTTCTTCCTCTGTTTTTGACAATCTAACAATAACGGCCGCCATTCCATCATCTTCGGGAGCCTCTTCCAGCACGGTATACGACTTGCAAAAGAAACGCAAAGAACATAAAAAACTTAAAAAGCTTAAAGAGCTAAAGGAGGGTAAAATCAAAAAGAAAAAGGACAAAAAAGATAAAAATAAAAGTAAAGAAAAAGCTGAGAAATATTTGCTTACACACACGCAAAGTTCACCGGTCAAAGAAAAGGAACAACCCACTATAGAAATAATACCAACGGCAGTGGCTCCTGCCCCGGTAATGGCACACACCGCCACCACCAATAGCAGCAACACTAATTCGGAAAAAGTAAAAGATAAAGATTTATTGAAAAAGTTAAAAAAGGAAAAGAAAAAAGAAAAACTACGCACGAATTTAGATGATCATCATCATTCAACACAACAAACTCCCAATAGCTTGCAGCAGCAGGCCTCAGTTTCAAATCCTTTAACAGGCAACACTAAAGAAACCATTAGTTCATCTTCAGCTACCGGCCCGCTATCGTTGGATATAGAGCCAACGAAAAAACAAAAATTATCACCAGCAGCTTTAATGCATACCTCTTCATCTGGCCATGTACATAATGAAACGACCAGTAATACGACGACTGCAACAGCGCCAGCCGCTATTGTACCAAAATTGACATTAAAATTAGGCTCTACACACTCACCCACACCGCCGCGCGATGATGGTCATAAGAATTCTTCTACGTCTGCGTCTTTATCTTCATCTGCTGCACCTGTACAACCACCACCACCATCTGCAGTCTCATCACCGCCAAGAGAACATCAACGAGAACCGTCGCCGGAATTGGCGCGTATATCACCTTTAGTGACGAGACCACCTAAACATAAACTTAACACAAGTAAGTTTAGTTTCAGTTCGATTTTAATTATTTCTGTTATAGTTGAGTTCTAGTTCAGTTCGAGTTCAGTTCTAGTTCAGTTCTAGTTCAGTTCTAGTTCAGTTCTAGTTCAGTTCTAGTTCAGTTCTAGTTCAGTTCTAGTTCAGTTCTAGTTCAGTTCTAGTTCAGTTCTAGTTCAGTTCTAGTTCAGTTCTAGTTCAGTTCTAGTTCAGTTCTAGTTCAGTTCTAGTTCAGTTCTAGTTCAGTTCTAGTTCAGTTCAGTTCTAGTTCAGTTCTAGTTCAGTTCTAGTTCAGTTCTAGTTCTAGTTCAGTTCTAGTTCAGTTCTAGTTCAGTTCTAGTTCAGTTCAGTTCTAGTTCAGTTCTAGTTCAGTTCTAGTTCAGTTCTAGTTCAGTTCTAGTTCAGTTCTAGTTCAGTTCTAGTTCAGTTCTAGTTCAGTTCTAGTTCAGTTCTAGTTCAGTTCTAGTTCAGTTCTAGTTCAGTTCTAGTTCAGTTCTAGTTTAGTTCTAGTTCAGTTCTAGTTCAGTTCTAGTTCAGTTCTAGTTCAGTTCTAGTTCAGTTCTAGTTCAGTTCTAGTTCAGTTCTAGTTCTAGTTCTAGTTTAGTTCTAGTTCAGTGCTAGTTCAGTTCTAGTTCAGTTATAGTTCAGTTATAGTTGAGTTCTAGTTCAGTTCTAGTTCAGTTCTAGTTCAGTTCTAGTTCAGTTCTAGTTCAGTTCTAGTTCAGTTCTAGTTCAGTTCTAGTTCAGTTCTAGTTCAGTTCTAGTTCAGTTCTAGTTCAGTTCTAGTTCAGTTCTAGTTCAGTTCAGTTCTAGTTCAGTTCTAGTTCAGTTCAGTTCTAGTTCAGTTCTAGTTCAGTTCTAGTTCAGTTCTAGTTCAGTTCTAGTTCAGTTCTAGTTCAGTTCTAGTTCAGTTCTAGTTCAGTTCTAGTTCAGTTCTAGTTCAGTTCTAGTTCAGTTCTAGTTCAGTTCTAGTTCAGTTCTAGTTCAGTTCTAGTTCAGTTCTAGTTCAGTTCTAGTTCAGTTCTAGTTCAGTTCTAGTTCAGTTCTAGTTCAGTTCTAGTTCAGTTCTAGTTCAGTTCTTGTTCAGTTCTAGTTCAGTTCATTTCTAGTTCAGTTCTAGTTCAGTTCTAGTTCAGTTCCAGTTCAGTTCTAGTTGAGTTCTAGTTGAGTTCTAGTTCAGTTCTAGTTCAGTTCTAGTTCAGTTCTAGTTCAGTTCTAGTTCAGTTCTAGTTCAGTTCTAGTTCTGTTCTAGTTCTGTTCTAGTTCTGTTCTAGTTCTGTTCTAGTTCTGTTCTAGTTCTGTTCTAGTTCTGTTCTAGTTCTGTTCTAGTTCTAGTTCTGTTCTAGTTCTAGTTCTAGTTCTGTTCTAGTTCTAGTTCTAGTTCTGTTCTAGTTCTGTTCTAGTTCTGTTCTAGTTCAGTTCTAGTTCAGTTCTAGTTCAGTTCTAGTTCAGTTCTAGTTCAGTTCTAGTTCAGTTCTAGTTCAGTTCTAGTTCAGTTCTAGTTCAGTTCTAGTTCAGTTCTAGTTCAGTTCTAGTTCAGTTCTAGTTCAGTTCTAGTTCAGTTCTAGTTCAGTTCTAGTTCAGTTCTATTTCAGTTCTAGTTGAGTTCTAGTTCAGTTCTAGAGCAGTGCTAGATAATGTAAATATAAATTCTAGATCAGCTTTAGATAATTTATAGATCACTTCTTGGTTCAACTTTAGACAAATTTTGGATCAGTTCTTAGTCAGTTTAAGATCAGTATTGGATCTGTTATAGATCAATTCTATATCAGTTCTCGATTATTTATAGATCACTTTTAGACAAATTCTGGATCAGTTATAGATCGATTCTAGACAAGTTTTAGATCAATTCTAGTTCTTCAAAAAAAATATTTTCACCAAAAAATTTTTATCCTTCAGGTGGTGAATTATCAGCAAGTTCTTCTACAGCGTCCAATAGCATTTCGGCTGCGAATGCGAGTTCTTTGGAAATAGGCGATGTTAGTAAGGCCAGCTCTGCCTCAAATCCCAATTTGATAGTACCTCCACCCAGTCCATGGCTATCAGGTGGCACCATATCGGCCAGTTCGGTGCTGTTGCCACATCAACTTTTACAAACAACTAAACAACATGATATGACAACGGCGCCCTCAAGTACTGCACACCACAGTACAGATACTGCCTCTAAGACAACCAACGCTGACAGACAAAGTCCTCTAACTCTAATAACGGAAACAAGTCGTCCTTCTTCGTATATCGTAAGAAACATTACATTCTTCATAGAAAAAAGGAAAATTTTTGATAATTTTTTTGTAATTTTTTCTTTTCTCTGATGCTGAAGGATGCTGAGGGCAATCGAGTATGGATTTGTCCAGCCTGTGGTAAAGTTGATGATGGTTCGCCCATGATTGGTTGCGATGGTTGTGATGCCTGGTATCATTGGTATGTTTTTTTTAAAAGTTTGTTTGTTTCATTGTTAATAATTTTTTTTATAATTATTTTAGGGTTTGTGTGGGCATATTTGTGGCTCCCAAGGACAATGAAGACTGGTTTTGTCGTGTCTGCATAACACGCAAAAAGGGCCTACATGGCTCTGATAAGAAACGAAAACGTAATAAGAAAAAATAATTCTTTTACGTAAATATATTTAGTTTTTAAGAAGTTGTAAAATTGTTTTTTCAATATTAAACAAACAAAAAATCGTTAATATACCCAAGTAGTATATAAAAAAAATATAATTTATATTATAACTCCGCGAAAAAAAGGACAAAAAAAAAGAAAAGTTGTTATAAACGTAAGGAAAAGAAATACATGTATTTGATTTTCTCATTATAAGAAATACAAATTTAAAAGTGTTTATTATTTAAAAAAAATGGACAAATATGATGGGTTGATGCAGAAATTCAATACTAAAATAATCAAATTCATAGAGGAGTTTTTTATTACTTAATATCTAACTTAATTCTTAAACTTTTAGTAAATATTAATCAGGTTCTACTGTTTTTAATAAAAAAAATCCTAACGCCTTAATTCAAATAATAACGGTGAAATGTATCATAATTTCCAAATGGCAACATAATCATTACTGTTTTACAGCTGGCAATACCCCTACTTTGCTCTCCCTCTCTAATAATTTATGACAACAAAGTAAAACTTGGCAGCACTTTATCATAGAAGAAAAAACACTTTCTTCTCTTTGACAGCTAAAATGTATTTTTGTTATTGAGTGCAATTTTATTTTTTTTTATATAAACAAATGAAAAATTATTGAAAAAAATACTAAAAATATAATTAACGTAAACATGTTAAAAGTAGCGCAACCAACGAGTAATGCCTTTCACAATTTTAAATGCGGCGAAATATTTTGTATTTCACCAGCCGTTTATAATGTTACATGCTGTCTGTGTGCCACCAAAATGCATCTGGATCAGTTTCCCAGTCACTTTCAAATGCAACATCTTACTCTGGCCGAGGAGAGTATAAATTTGGAAGAATTAGAACTTAAGAGGCGTGCTAAATTGGCCAAAGATGCAACGCTGCTGGATAATATGGCCATCAAAGAGGAGGATCCCGAAGATGATCCCATAAAACAAGAAGATGTGGCGTATGAACAAGACGTAGATGAAGATGATAAAAGTTTGCAGCAGCTATTAAGGGAAACAGAAAAGGCTCGTGGCAAGCAGGAGAAAGATCAGGAGGAAGAGTTTCTTGAAGAGGCGGAAAGTGAAGAATTAAATATTGGTGACAAATTGCAGGTGGAGATTTTGGTGCGTAAACCGAATACTAGAAACTCGAGGAAAACTAATAAAAAAGCTCTTAGTATAAAGGAAGATCAAAAGCCGGAGGTGGAAAGTGAGTTAGATGAAGTAAGCTTAGTGGAGGATAAAGCAAGTGGAAAAGAATTGACCACACACTTGAATACTGAAGAGGAGGAGTTAAAAGAAGAATATGATGGTGACGATGTAGATATGGATCGAGACTGGTCTTTGGAGGATAAGATTTCTGACACAGATGTAAGTTAAACAGAACCAGAACTGAACTGGTAGTGTACTAAAACTGAACTAATCTAGAAATGAACAAGAATTGAACAAGAACTGAACTAGTAAAATCTATACTGTATAATTATTTTATTTCTTTCTTTAGTCCGATCCCGATGACAAGAACAGCCCCAAAGATGAATTACCCTTTCCTTGTCTTACATGTAAACGATCGTATCGTTCCAAACACAGCTTACAAAAGCACAACTATAGTGTTCATAATCCTAATAAACCGCCGAAAAAACCGAAGGAACCTAAAGCCGAACACAAATGTGATGAATGTAATGAAGTTTTTCGTTCCGCCCGAGATTTGCGTGGTCATAAATGGAAACATACGGGAATATTTTGCGATATCTGCGGAAAAGCTTTTACCCAAACCGGCAATATGATGAGACATAAAATCCGTCACACTGGCATTAAGGCACACAAATGCAATGAATGTGATAAGGAATTCTTTACCGACAAAGAATTAAAATCACATATGATTTGTCATACCGGTCTAATGCCTGTAATTTGCGAAATATGTGGTAAAAGGTGTCGGGATCGTGGTGTTCTAACCGCCCATATGCGTAGACATACTGGTGAAAGGCCGGCTAAATGTGATGTTTGTGGTAAAAGTTTCTTTTCATTTCATGATCTTAACGTTCATGCTGTTACGCACAGTAGTGAGCGGCCATTTAAGTGTGATATATGTGGTTCAACATTCCAGCGCAAAAAAGCTTTGCGTGTTCACAAACTTATACATTCGAAAGATCGTAAGCATGTGTGTAAAATATGTGGCAAAGGTTTTGCTCAATCCGGTGGTCTCAACTCGCATATGCGTACCCATGATGCGGCTCTAGAGAAAACTAGCAATGAGATTGCTCAACCGGTTATAATGCCAGTACAGATGGAACAAGCAGAAAGTTCAACGTCGAATAAAACACCTGCAACTAACGAGGTTAGTATGACACCAGAGAGTAGTAGTGTTTTGGGCCAATATATGGTTTAAAATTGAAAAAAAATTTTCGTTTTAATTTTAGTTTTTCATATGATTTATTATGATTAAGGTTTTTACAATAAAATGATAAAAGTAGTTATAGGATATGTGTAAATAAATGCAATATAATTAAGTAATAATCTTAAAATAAAGTAACCATTTAAATTAAAAGACAAAGATTTAAAAGTTTCTGTAGCTACTACTATTTCCCAACAACACCTTATATGCGTACGTATAGATTAAATACACGACTGTGTAATTTCTAAGTTAGAAATTCTAACACATGTATAACATTTCCAACATCAAAATTTTAACTTAACTGATTTGCATCTGAAAACATTAGAAAAAAATACTTTGCAACTGTTTTTCTGTATTATGACAACAAACTAAAAGTTGGCAACACTTAATCGCTAAAAACTCGTCCAAAATTAAAACAATTTTGTTTATTGAGTGCAATTATTTTTTAATGAAAACTAACTAAAACTGGGCAGCACTTATTTACAAAAAAAAATTGACAGCTAGAATTTGTTGCAATTCTTGTTTTCTTGTAAAAACAAATGAAAAAGTAATTAAAAAAATTTTTAAAAATCTACTGTAAAATGCTACAAGTGGCTCATCCTTCTAGTAATGCCTTTCACAACATCAAATGCGGTGAAATCTTTTGTATTCCACCAGCAGTTTACAATGTTACTTGCTGTCTGTGTAACATCAACATCCATTACGACCAGTTTCCTAGTCACTTTCAGATGCAACATCTTATGCTGGCGGAGGAGAGTATAAATTTAGAAGAATTGGAACTCAAAAGGCGTGTTAAATTGGCTAAAGATGCCTCTTTATTAGATAATATGACCATCAAAGAAGAGGATCCCCAAGATGATCCTTTAAAACAAGAAGATCTAGTAAAACGAGAGGAAGAGGAGTCTTTTAGCAAACATGAAAATAAAAAGGAAGAATTTCCAAAAGTGACGGAAGCTGGTGATATAGATATTGCTGATAAAATAAAGGTTGAGAAAGTTGTAGAGCTAAAACGAAATACTAGAAATTCAAGGAAGAAAAATAAGAAATCAAAAACTGTAAAAGTAGAGGAAAAGCCTGGGGTGGAACAATTAAATAAATTAAACTTAAACGTTGAAAAGGAAACTAATAACGAAATGACAACACAATTAATTGAAGAAGTGAAGGAGTTGAAAGAAGTGAGTGATGGTGATGATGTAGCTGTCAAATTAAAGGAACACATTAAGGTGGTGCGAAAACGAAGTACTAGAGGTACTAGGAAGAGTAATAATAAAAAATTGAATGCTGTAAAGATAGATAAAAAACAGGAGATAGAAAATTTAAATGATTTAAGTAAAGGTTTAGGAAAAGAAACCCATAATGAAGTAACGCAATTAAAACAAGAACAAAGGGATTTGAACGAAGAATATGATAGTGATGATATTGATATGGATCGAGACTGGTCATTTGATGATAAAATGTGTGATATAGATGTAAGTAACTAAAAGTAAAGCACTCTAATTGATAGATCTGTACTAGAATTGTACTAGAACTGAAATAGAAGTGTACTAAAGTGAACTAGAATTGAACTAGAACTGTACTAGAACTGAACTAGAACTGAACTAGAACTGAACTAGAACTGAACTAGAACTGAATTAGAACTGAACTAGAACTGAACTAGAACTGAACTAGAACTGAACTAGAACTGAACTAGAACTGAACTAGAACTGAACTAGAACTGAACTAGAACTAGAACTGAACTTGAACTGAACTTGAACTGAACTTGAACTGAACTTGAACTGAACTTGAACTGAACTTGAACTGAACTTGAACTGAACTTGAACTGAACTTGAACTGAACTTGAACTGAACTTGAACTGAACGTGAACTGAACTAGAACTGAACTAGAACTGAACTTGAACTGAACTTGAACTGAACTTGAACTGAACTAGAACTGAACTAGAACTGAACTTGAACTGAACTTGAACTGAACTTGAACTGAACTTGAACTGAACTAGAACTGAACTAGAACTGAACTTGAACTGAACTTGAACTGAACTTGAACTGAACTTGAACTGAACTTGAACTGAACTAGAACTGAACTTGAACTGAACTTGAACTGAACTTGAACTGAACTTGAACTGAACTTGAACTGAACTTGAACTGAACTTGAACTAGAACTGAACTTGAACTTGAACTTGAACTGAACTTGAACTGAACTTGAACTGAACTTGAACTGAACTTGAACTGAACTAGAACTGAACTAGAACTGAACTTGAACTGAACTTTAACTGAACTTGAACTGAACTTGAACTGAACTTGAACTGAACTTGAACTGAACTTGAACTGAACTTGAACTGAACTTGAACTGAACTTGAACTGAACTGAACTGAACTGAACTGAACTGAACTGAACTGAACTGAACTTGAACTGAACTAGAACTGAACTTGAACTGAACTAAAATTGAACTAGAACTAAACTAGAACTTAACTAGAACTAAACTAGAACTAAACTAGAACTAAACTAGAACTGAACTAGAACAAAAAATTAACTAGAACTAAGCTATTTCTTTTAAATTTCCACTTCAGTCTGATCTCGATGATCAAAATAACAAAAGAGATAAACGTACCTTTTCCTGCCACACTTGTAATCGTTCATATACTTCCAAGAATGGATTAAATAAGCACAACTACACTGTTCACAATATGCCCAAACCACCCAAAGTCGAATACAAATGTGATGAGTGTAATGAAGTTTTTTATTCCGAACGTCTTTTGCGCGGCCATAAATATAAACATACTGGCATATTTTGCGATATTTGTGGTAAAACTTTTACACAATCGAGTAATATGTTAAATCACAAGATCCGTCATACCGGCGTAAAGGCCCACAAGTGCAAAGAATGTGATAAGGAATTCTTTACTAACAGAGAACTCAAATCCCATATGATCTGTCATACGGGCCTGCCAGTAATATGCGAAATATGCGGCAAAAGATGTAGACATCGTGGTATACTAAAGGCTCACATGCGAAGACATACGGGTGAAAGGCCCTTCAAATGTGATGTTTGTGGTAAGTGTTTCTTTTCGTTACATGACCTTAACGTACACGCTGTTGCGCACACCACTGACCGGCCATTTAAGTGTGATATCTGTGGTTCAACATTTCAACGACGTAAAGCTTTGCGTATTCACAAACTTATACATTCGAAAGATCGTAAGCATGTGTGTAAAATATGTGGCAAAGGTTTTGCTCAATCCGGTGGTCTCAACTCGCATATGCGTTCACATGATTTAGAGAAACTTGGCAATGAAGTGGCACCACTGGCTCTATTGCCGATACAAATGCAGGCAATGGAAAATACTCAAGCGGAGGGTACAATAACGAGTTTAAATGTTGATGTTAGTATGACAGCAGAGGGTATTATGTTGGGCCAATATATGGTTTATAAGTAAATGTGAATTGTGGTCGTTGTATTTTTACTCGTGTTTTCTTTTATTTCTTAATATGAATGTACAAATTATATGTAAGATAATGTGTGTAAATAAAATTGCAATATAATTAAGAAATTATAGTCTTAATTTTTGACTATACTATGTTTTTGACCATAAATAGACCAGATTGTAGTCTCTACTATAAGCTAGACTTGATTGTTGAATATACTAAACTTTATCGCCTATTGTATCGACTAGATTGTAGTCTATACTATAGGTTGTTGTATGTACTATTTACAGTGGTTCTTTTGAATTAAAATCTTCCTTATTATTCATTTCTGTTTTATAACATAAATTTTATTTGTTTTTTGTTTTTAATAATTACACAGCTAAAACATAAAAATTAAGTACGATTATTAAATACTATATATATTTTTATATATAAATATGTATAAACAATGACTTACAGCAATAAATGGACTGACTTTCTTTTATAAACTGCTAAAACTTGGGACAATAAAAAATTTTTAAAAATTTCTTAAATTTAGCAATAAATTAAAAGGGAATGTTTTGGAAAAAAAATATGATATGATATTGATTTAAAGATAAGTTCTTAAAAAAATATAAAATACTAAAATTTTCAAATTGTTTGCAGGACCTTAGAGATTATTTAATAAATGAAAATTATTGAAAAGTTTAATAGTTTTTAAATATTTTAAGTTGTTTTTTTTTTTGAATATTTATTTAGTTGTTTTAAAAAATGTTTAGTGAGTTAATGTTTTAGGGTGTTTGGTATTAAAAATATGTTGTTTATTTAATAGAAAATAGTGCTTTTTATATGCCTTTAAAGTTTAAATGCTTTTGTTGTTAAATATTTAAAAGTTTTTGAGATTTGTTTCAAAAAAAAAAAAAAATGTTATTTGTTAGAGTTTCTTTATAAATTCCTGTAAATTTGGCTCATTATGTTAAGTCTATATTTGTTGGTTTTGTATGGAGTTAAAATTTGGCACTGCTTTAGCCAGGATTTTATTATAATAAAATTTTCTTACAAAATTTTTTTTTATGAGGAGATTTTAGCAAGAGTCTTTTTGTATGATTTTTTTTAATCCTCCTTTTTTGCTTGTGTATATCAATAATATTGTACATTTCTTGTTGGTTTTTGTAGGTTATATTTCTTTTTTACTTTATTTAGCTTTTACTATTTCTAAAGGTTTTATGGTTTTAAAATTTATTTAAAACTGAGGGGAATGCTTTCAATTTTATAAATTTCTGTTTTTAATTCTAACCTTAACATTTTTTTTTTATCAAAATTTGAGGTTAGAATTTCTATTTTTAGGATTTTCTTTTTAATTTTTATAAACTTTCTCTTACAATTCCTTTTAATGCCTTATGTTAAAAGCAATTCCTTTTAAATACCTTACAAACCTATTTACTTACTTTTGAATTTAGACTAAATTTATTTGTATTTTAATAAGTAAACGATCATCCTCACAAAATCCCCTCTTAACGATATCCGCTATATTGGCATATTCCACAAAACCAAAACCCCGGGCACTAATACGTTCGCGCGGCTGATGAAAAGCTAAAATTTCTGGTTTTGTCATAATGGTATCGTGTTGTGATAGCTTCATGTCTCTGGGATGAACCATACACAACTTAATGCGTCCTATGAAGGGCCATTCCAAGTGTATATCATTTTCTGATTGCATTAGATGGACGTGCAAACTTAAAAGATTTGTATTACGGGGTTGTATATTGAGACGGGCACAGAATTTATAGCCATAGGGTGAAGTATAACATTCGGGGGAGTATTTTAGATGACTGGCATTGGAACGCAGGTAATTTATAAGATTTTGAAAATTTCGAATTTCCCAGACTATGGTGCCATTGCTGTAGCGGGCATCCACTTGTTGGTGTGTCTCCACCAGTTGTTTTGTAAGATTTTCTATTTTGACTTCTTGCTCGAAGGCTCTTTGCTCTAAGACCACTATACGCTGATACATGGCCTGTATAAGTTGTTCCTCACTAACCACGCCATCACCATTGGCATATTGTGGTGGTGGTGGCAGAGCTCCCTCTGCTCCACTACCATTTTGTCCTCTAGCAGGTTTTTGTGGATTCCAGCTGGCTATGGCTGTGTTTTGTAAAGATCTCAACATTAATTGCAAATGATGTGGCATATCTTCTTTTAAATGCATTTCCAAGGCATTGGTTTCGGGGCGTCCCACAAAATCACATTTAATGCTGGCAAAGGGACACTTTTCCTCACTGGGCTCCTCCTCACAGCGATAGGGGCACTCTAGCTTGTGCTGTTCCATTTCCAAGGGCGAACCTATAAATGTGCAACCCGTCTTATTATGCTCACACTTTAACTTAATCTGTTGTATTTCACGGCGCGTATAGTTATCCGGAAAAACATCTTTATCCACCTCTAGTTTCTGATTATCCATGGGACATAATTGATTCTTTTTGCGCAGCCAATTGTTCAAGCAGGTTTTGCAAAAACGATGACCACAAGTAGTTAGCACAGGTTCCTTTAACCAACTCATACAAATGGCACATTCATATCTGGCCTCCGGTTCAGTCTCATCATTGCTATTAGTTCTGCTCGACGCCAATGAATTCTTGAGATTTAGTCTTTGTGGTGGTTGAGGTCGTTGGGTCACTTCCATTTCGGCCATACGCTCGGGTAATACTTGTTCCTGATACTGTTGTGCTGCTTGTCTACCATCTTGCATTTTTATTGTTTGTTTCGTTTTTAAATGTATAATTTTCTTTTGGCTTGTTTAAATTTGGTAAAATTGTTCAAAAACTTTTGTAAAAATTCTAAAAAAAACTTGTATTTTTTAATGCTATTTTTGTGCTCTTAAGGAAGAAAAATGTATTTGCAAATTGTAAAAAAATGATTATTGATTTCTTTTGTTTTGCTAATTAATGTTGACATTTATCATGTAAATGAGAGCGAGACGATGTGTCATCTGTTTTTTTACTTTGCAAATTGTATATGTAAACAAATATAACAGGGTGCCTCAGCCTTAATTACAAATTTGATAGTTTTAAAAATCAATTAAATTTGTTTTATAAATAAACATTACTGAGATTTTAATATTATTATTGCACATAACAACACTTTAATCTAATTTCTTTGGATTAAACCGGCTGTTTATTCTTTTTTATAATAAAACAAAACAATTGACAAAAACACAACCAAACAAAAACATAGAGCTGCCAGCATAACTGCCATATGAAATTGCCTAATCTGGCAACTCTTTTAAGAAATATTTAAACAGAGCGGAAGTGAGAAGGGAACATAGGAGAATAGTGTTGTATACTTTATACTTATAAGCAAAAAATACCAAAATTTGATTTATTACGAAACATTTCTAAATTATTTGCATTATTTTTAAAATTTTTAGCTTTATATGAGGTGTATACTAGAAATTATATTTGTCAAAACTTTTATTTTTTAGCTTTGGCCACCTTAAAATAATTAATCGCTAGAATTTTTAATAATTTATTATACATAGCAGAAAAAAACGCTAATTTTAACAACACTGGAACCAATATTTATGGTCGTTTATATAAATTGAACCATCGAATGATAGCCAGGGACAGTCTATAATTGAACGTGAACGTGAGAACGTGTGAAAATTAAAGAATAAAAAAGAATATATACGATTAAACGCACTAAAGTGAAGGAAGTGTATTGGAGTGTTTTTTTTATAGGCAAACGCTTAAGTGGTGCTAATAAAGCAATTAAAAACATACAAGAACAATAAAAAACATTGAAATAATAATAACGGTTAAAAAAGTATTTGAATTTATTAAAAAAAAACTAAAGCAAAGAGTTTTAAGAGAATTGGGAATTAAAAAATTCATTAGAAAAATGAAGAAAATTTTAAATTTATTAATTATCGTTACAATTTACATATCTTGGGTATGGACAATATATGTTCCAGAACATACTGATAACAAACAAATAAATGAGGAGCAGTTTGGTGTTGAAAAACCATTAGGAAAGATTTTACAGACAATTGAAGATAGATATCTGCTTAAATTAAATAATATTGATAATAATGACGCTGATGATGATGATGATGGCCAACAAATTGTATTTAATGCACAGCAGGCAAAAAATGCACACCAACTCAAACTCATACCAACGCAGAAAAAATCATACGATATCGATGATGACGTCGTGGTAAGTGCAAAAAAACGCACAAACCTTATGCATGAGAAGAATTTGGAGGCACAACCAACTGGTTTAGCAGCAGCAGAACAAAATACACATAATAATGACGTATTGACAACAGAGGAGAATATTAAGACGGAAGACGACTCTTTAAAAGCCCCTACACACTCACGCCAGAAGCGTCAATTGTCGGACTTCTTAATCGCGCCCAATACCCGCTGGTGTGGTCGTGGTAATACGGCTAATGGTACCTATAATCATTTGGGTGGTGCCTCTATGGCTGATAAATGCTGTCGCACCCATGATCATTGCAAACTCTATATACCAGCCATGAGTAATCGTTTTGATCTTTTCAATTATCGTCCCTATACTTTGTCGCATTGTAATTGTGATCGTCGTTTTCGCACCTGCCTAAAAATGGCTAGTGATGAAGATGCCAATACTATAGGCAAACTTTTCTTTAATCTAGTTCAAACCCAATGTTTTGTTTTGGCCAAGGAGGTGGTGTGTCAACAGCGTGCCAAGGATGGCACTTGTCTTAAAGAGCATATTAAGCAAAAGGCTTATTTGAGAAATAATAAAAAGTATTAAATGGTGAAGGAAACAACGAAACAAGAAAATAACGCTTCCATGAAGTGTCTAACTGAACAAATTCTCAAGTCTCATTAAAACCTCATTTATTTTTTTCTTAAATAATATTATCAATAAGTTATAATTAAAGAAAGAAAACAAAATAGTTTCCTATATACATATGTATGTAAAACAAAAGTACTTAAACACGTTTAAAACTAACTCAAACACCCTCTTAACTGGCTATAGGGTATTAAACTCATCGGCTGTTTTTGTTTACATTTGTTTTTTTTTTTTTTCTCAACGCCGCTGCTAATTGGTCAAATTTTCAATTGCATTAAAAGTTTCTAACGTTGCCTGCAAATTAAGGCCAATATATAGAAATTATATTATTAAGGTGAGTAATTAATTAAATATTTTATAACAATTGTTATATTTATAAATATAATTAGGATAAACCACAATATGGCGTGTTTATTTAATAAATGACGTTACAAAAAGAACTATAAATAACATTAAATTTATATAATAGAACAATTTTATAAATTAAAATATAAAATTACCGTTAGAATAGGAATTTTAAAGCAATAAAAGTGCTGCCAAGTATAAATAATAAAGGATCTGTCATTTTAAACAGTGTTAACAATGTATTGTTTTTAAACTACGTTTTAGGATGAAAACATATTCGTTAAAAGCAAACGAGTGCAACCAAGTTTAAATAAAAAGGATCTATCACTCTATTTACAGTATTGACAATATAGAGATTTTTTAACAGGAATTTTTAAGCAGAATTTAAGAGTTTTAAAAAAATTTAAATAATTAAAGTTTTTTAAGTAAAATATAGTATTTTTTAATAATAATCAAATAAATATAAAATTTTAAAAAGCAATTCAAGAGTTTTTTAACTATTTGTTGATTTTTCATAAAAACTAAGCTTTTTAAAGGAAAATATTTATAAACAAATGAATTTTAAAGATAATTCTTATAAATTAAAGCAGTTTTAAGAAAAAGTTCAACAAACAAGACATTTTTAAATATATATATTTTTTTATTTTTTGTTAATATGAATTTTACGTTAAAAGCATTCTTTATGAGTTTTATCTATATTTTAATTAAAAAAAAAATGGTTTATGTATTAATTTTATACATATATTTTTATTTTTATCTTTACAGCTGTCAGCCACAGGCTTAACATCATCAAAAACTATATGCTGGTCTTAACAAAAAGAAAAAAATACCCTGAAAATTTGTCTAATTAATCATATTGTAATTATATTTTTTTAAAATAGTTTTATTTTTATAATTTTATCAAAAAAAAAAAAAAAAATAGCACTGACAATGAGAATGTTTTAGTTGTAATATTTAACTGATAAGCTTTAATTTTAATTAAATTTTATTATTTAAAAAAATACCATTAAACATTCTAAATTCATGATGAATTTTAATTAAATCCCTAGGAAAACAACGAATTTATTAAGTAAATTATTAGAGTAGTTTAAGTAGAGATTTTTCAAATATTTAACAAACAACAAATATTTAACAACAAACAACATTCTTTATTAATTTAAATGTTATAAATAGAATTTTTATTATACAGTAGTTTTAAAATATTATGATGTATATTATTTAATATAATAAAATAATAGAAAGTACTTAATAAAATCAAAAACACAAGTATTTATTCAAACTTAATAAAAAAAAGTGTGTTATTTAAAATAAAAAAAAAAACAAGCCAAAGGTTATTTTTGATTAAGAACTTAGACCAATTAGTTTTAGAAAATTTCAAATTTCAAAAGAAAATCTTAGTTTGTTGCTAAAAGAAAAAACACGTAGTTAATGAATTGAAATATGTGTATTTCTGGAAGTATATAATTTGACGTATTTAATAAATACAGTTTTTTTGGACTTTGTTCTTTTTAATACAAATTTCCTCAAGTTATTTTTTACAATTTTTTGCTATCTCTTTCTCTGTCTGGTTAATTTTGTTATCTCCGATTGTTTGTTTTCTTTTTTCTCATCTTTAGGTGATTTTTTCTAAATTTTCGAAAAGGTCTTTTGTTTAAAATGCATAATAAACTTTTAATTTTATTATGTCTACATGATTGACGTCGATGATCGTATGTTTTGTTTTTTTTTTGGTTGTTCTTAGAAATGTTCTAAAAAAAGCAATTATGATTAATTTGGAACTTAAAAGAGCCAATGGCAACAAAAATTTTCATAAATTTCGTTAAATTAAACTCGTAAACACTTTAACACAATAACAAAAAATCGCTACAATGTTAATCCTTTCAATAAATGTAAACAAAAATATAACGGTTAATTAGCCATTTTAAGAGCAATCTCTCTATGACAGTAAAGTCAAATTGCAAAAATCACTAATATGTTCTTTTTTAAGGAAATCTTAACATTTAAGGTCGATATTGTTAAATAAAAGTATTCTATTTGAATTTTAGAAAAAAGCAACTGTTTGAATTTTTGTAAAATATTTATTGCAAATATTGTTATTGAAGGGTTTCTAAGGCAAAAATATTATTTTTAGGAAATGTAAATAAAATCAACTGAAATTTTTCTTAAAAACTTAAAAATTTTATTAAAAAACTAAAAAGAAATAAAGTTAAGAAACACTTAAGAAATTTTAATTATAAAATTCAAGAAAAAATGTTAAAATTAACTTCTTATTTAACTTTTTTTTAAACCTATTAGAAGTTTTAAAATAAATTTGGGTCATGGGTTTTTTATTCAGAATTTTTTTTGCCTTTTAATTGTTTACATTACCCTATTAAAAAATCAATATTCAAACACATTTAAGTAATTAATTATGCACAAAGGAATTTTTTTTAATGGTGGAAATAATTGATTTAAACAATTAATAGGAAACGTTATGAAAAACTAAGCGTGTCACTTGAAAAAGTGGTATTAACTATTTAATCTACTATATCATAGACACATTTTTCAAACAATTAGCCAGATTTTTCTATAATAAAGTGGGAAATATTGTAAAAATTTATAGACCTCATTAAAAAAACCCTAGTAGAATTTATGGCCTGATAAAAGTCTGCACATTTCTTTTTGGGAAAAAATTGCAATAATATACATATGTATATTTAAAATTTTTTGCATATAAGAGAATCAGGCGATAATATTGATCACTGTTTTGTTTTATTGTTTTGACGTAAACATTTAACAAGAATTTTCCGTTTAATAATAA